GGCAATCATGCCTCTCAAACACCCCAATTACCGGCCCCCAGCCAACTAAGCATACAACGTGCTGCATCCGCTAGTCTGCCACCCTCTCGATCCAATTCGCGACTTATGCCCGAGCAAGCTTCGCCTGCACCATCACCGATTTCCGCACCCGCTGGATCCCAGCTTGGCGCAGTCGCCCGAGCACCCAGCACGTCTTCCATGGCGGAACCAGAAGCGAAACCTGCGAGGGATTGGAAGCGCAGAGCGAGCTTGTTTAGATCAAAGAGTTCTCAAGAGCCGAGGAGGCAGAAACGCAGGGAAAGTATGGTGCTGAGCCCGCCTGTTCCAGACAGAATGTCGAGGGCAAACTCAATGACCTGGGAGAGTCAGCAGGAGATGGACACTTCCAGGCAATTACAAGTTGAAAGGTATGAGCAAACCCCTCAGCATTTTTCTTCACAACCACTGACCAACCGTGACTTAGCTGGCATGTTCCCGGGAATCGCCAGTCCATCAACTACAACCTCATGTCATACGAATCGAGAAGGCTTCTCAACCTCAACGAAGATCTCACCGCATGCGAAGAAAACTCCATGGTGTCTGAAAGCAAGTTCGAGGTATCAGCGAATACTTGGAAAAGTTCACATCCGCTGCAGCCACAGCCAGCCGTTGCACAATCAGTCAGCGCACAGTTGCCCCTCCCTCGAGCCAATTCAGACCTGGCATTGTATGCACCCGTACGGCGACGTTCCATGATCCAAACTCCAGGTCTTGCGACCCGGATGCCATCAGAATACCCTTCATCTAGACGGTCGAGCGTGCGACACAGTATGCCTACCACGCCGGCAGGAGGGCGGTCGCGAATGAACTCATTATCGATCGACTCGAGCGCATATCCGATCCCGACGTTGGAAGAATACGTCGCTGAGCGATTCGCCTCGGAGCCCGAGTATCTATGTGAACCAGTGGTAGAACCTGTCGAAAGAGCCTTGACCCCTTCTGATATGGATTATCGGCCGCTTGGGGCCATGAAGTTTGGCTCGCTGCGGATCACGAACGGAGAGGCCAGCCCGCTTCCGAGCCCGGACTTTGAACCAGCTGTTCAGGTCAGCATAGCGGAAAAGTCACAGATGGTTGCTATTGAGGAGTATTTCAGGCACGAGAACGGATCGGGCGGGACGGGCTTTGAGAGCAAGGAAGTCGAAATCACGGTCTCAACAGTGCAAGCCAGTGCTACTTCGCAGACGCTCAGTCCGATCAAGACTTCGGTTCCAAGGGCGGAATCGCAGAGGCGTCGGTCAACTTCGTTAGTAGTCTCCCTTGCCAATTCGTGCAGACGGCGCCATGTTGTGTAAGGCACCATGAGACGGCTCACGCTGACTCAAATATAGGCCACTCAGTCCAGAGTTGAAAATATCATCCAAGCACACAGCTATGGAAGACGACCTTTTCGCGGAAGAAGATGAAGATGTGCAAATGGAGTACTCTGCCGAGGTTCTGACGGTCAGAAATGACCCGAACGCAAAGCCAAGTCTCGAGCAACTGAAAGCGGACCAGTCTCAGAAACATTCCCGAGCAATTGTTCGCGCCGACAGTGGAGTCGTTGCTAGCCCGACCACCGAGCACCAGCCCAAACCGCTCTCCAAGGCCGATTCCGGCTACAGTTCGAATGTCTCGCTGAGGTCGTTCCATGCCAAGCAACCTTCTGCAGGCAGCCGCCCAAGTGGCCGTGCCGCATCGGAGGATTCGAGCGATGAGCTGTCAGACTCAGCCGCATCCCCGACTGTAGTCGTCAGCGGCGGCAGGTTGCAACTCAGTGTTATTAATGCTGACAACCGCCCCGTTGATCCTCCACAATCTTCCCCCTCCGTTCCTCCGTCCCTGCCTCCGAAAGACATTTTCCTCGTCTCTCCGACTAGTAGCAACACAATGACGGTTACATCGCCCAAGTTCTTCTTCAACCTCAGCGCCGGTCATTCCTTCCGCAAGGACCGAAAGTCCCCGGCGCTGATTGACAGCACTCAAACGATCGAACATGGCCCCGCTTCTCCGGCGGGCGTTCGATCACCCGGGGCTACATCCGAAAAGTCCAATTCTTCATTGAGCATTGGCAACGGCTTGCAAAAACCTGGCAAATTGCAAAGACTTCTCAGCGGATCTGGAATGCGAGGCCCTCCGGCCGTTCACACAACGCATCCGTCCGACAAAGAGATTCCCTCGGTACCCCAGGATGTTCAGTCAAAGCTTGAGGAGCATTCTGGCCTGTTTCCCATCACAACCAAGCGTTTGACTTTACGTGCGCAAGCCAGCAAAGAGACTCTCAAGACGATTTTCAGTGTAGGAAGTTTCGATGCCGGTCATGCCGAGGACAAGCGCAGCTCCGTCCTCCTGGTCGACGCGCCTCAGGCCGTAAGGGATGTGATGGCAGAAACTTCTGGACCATATGAAAAGCCCAAGTCACCCTACCGCCGCTCTTTCCAGGCCATGCCGGCCTCATTCGCTCAGGCCGCCGTTTCTGTCATGCCACGACGTTCTATCCACCGCAAGCCAGTGCCTTCTGGCGGCGTGAGCAAGGCCGAGTTTGTCGGCGAAGCCAGAGCCGACGAGATCCAGGTCGGCTTCGAGTCCAGGATCACGGCCATCGACAATGTCGGTGAGAGTGTTGGCAAGAGTGCCTTTGACCAAGCTTTCATGGCGCTCCCTCGGGAGCAGCCTGTTCAGGGCCAACACAGTCGCACTTTGACAATGCCGGCGCACGTGGAACGTGAGATTGGGTTGCGATTCCGTCCCACCGAGCCTCTGCCTCCGACAAACCGCCACTCTGAATTTGCGTCACAGAACCTACAGGTTCCCGAGATGTCAGTGAAGAGGAAGACTTCTCCGCCAGTCAGTCTGCATACCCGCAGCAACACCAAAAGTCCCCGAAAGCCAGTCCCAGTGCGCCCACAGTCATCCTCATCCGGCGAGGCGAGCCGAAGACAGACCTTGTCGAGGCAGAATAGTCGTGAGACTATCCACAGCTACCCATCAGCTTTGACAGGAGCATCACTCGACGACGCTCTGGCTGTGCCGCCCATTCCACCAATGAGCCCTCGCAGGGGCATGACGATGCTTGAGCAGCAATACACCAAGCGCCGTATGACGGTTGAGGACAAGTGGCGCCCTACCAATGGGTCTTTCCCCGAGTTCGGCCACCCAGTCACGCGCAGCGCCTCGATCAACCCTACGGGTCATCATCAGCAGCAGCGACAACTTCGTCATCGATCAAGCTACGACAGTTACTCGCAGCACCGGGGTCCCGTTGCACGCGGGCATCCAGCCACCAACCAGAGCCCGAGCCAAAGCGGCAGCTACTACCAGCAGCAACTCTTGAACATTCAGCAGCAACAATGGGAACAGCAACAGTACCATTCCCCTGACGCCATTCAGCCGGGCCTTGCCAGAAGCCGGAGCCGGAGCCGCAGCGTTCACGCCAACGGTGACCAGCCCTACCGAGTCCTTCACAGCTACAACTCGCCAGCGTACCGCAACGCCCCAATCTGGGGATGAGTCAAACTCGTTGCATACCAAGCCTGGCAGCTTATCCATCACTTCGCTTCTCAAGATGGCCAGTCCTATCATACACACACACACCATTGCTCTCTCTGAGCGTCCGATACGACATCAACCCATTTGCACCGACCGCGCAAGCTGGCGCCGATTTTATTTACAAACTTTTCTATGTACAGGCTTGCAACATACGCATTCGACGACCGGGCTAGCGAAAGCGATCGTCTTAGCATGAACCTTGCGATTTACAGACTTCTGCAAAGAGGCGAAAATTTCCGCCGTTTTTCTTTGATACGCACACATACACAACCTCGGATATACCCAATGGTAAAAACAACACGGCCTGATGAAACACGGATAAACGGGCCAATGAACTTTCTTATACCCAGCACCGAGACAAGAAGGGGGGTTCTTCTTTCATAGCTTTGTGTTTCTGATTCTGGGAACGGGCGGTAACACAGTATACGTCATACCTGGGGGGGAGGTCTGCTTGAAGCTTGATTTTTGATTTTGTGCAGACGGGAGTTTGGGATACCCTCTTGAAATTGTCCACGATTGGAAATCATTCGGGGGAAGGCTGTAGCCCTCGGGGCACAGCTGGACAGGCCAGGACAAATATGGAACGGGAACGAAATACAAGGTTCTACAGGGGGTTTCGATACGTAGCTTATGGATAGCAAGCAGATTCGGAAGGCAAGCTTCGGTGAATACGAACATGTTTGTCCTTAAGTTGGCCATCGCTCGTCGTAAGGTTTTGTACATTTGAGGATAGTTGGGCCATATATGTTTAAGTTCCCTTTTGAGCAGCAGATCTCTGTTTACCCTCCCGCATTCGGCATTCGGTCCTCAAAGCCTCGGGGATAGGTGGACGTTGAGTCGTCAAACGTTGGACACTTCCGCCTGCCACGCCTCCCTCACCGAGAGCTGACGCCACACTTTCACCGAGGGATGACCCCGCAGACCAAAGGGGAGAATTCGTCAGAAAACGTGGGAGCCGTTACGTCGGTACACTGGGCACATCGGCTGCGGGAAACAGTGGGGACAAGCCGATGTACCGGAACTAACTTCAGAAGTATCCTCCTACCACACTTGCAAATGGAATTTCCCAATGCAGATAAGTTCACTTTTCTTTCCTAACAAACCTGACGAGATAAGTGGAATATTTATTCGACGGACGCATCGAATAATCTTGATCAGTATAATTAAGTTTTAACCGATAGATGATCTTTTTCTTCATCTGGCGATCTGAAAGTCTCCAAGCTCAGACAGCGTGAAGATTCGACCTTGTATCCCCCTCAAGTACTTACTCAACAGGGATGATACAAGGCTTCTCCACTATTTACAACGTCCCCCTTAACGCGTCGCGTCTTGGTGGAGGGAGTTAAGGTTATGGGGATGAAGATTGATTATGGGAGAGCACTCTACAATTCTATTCTTGGGTGACCAATTCTCTGGCATGTTCAAACGCCGTGATGGATTTCCCCGTAGTTGACCCAGTTCATCAGACTGAAGGGGAGCCCCGGGCGACTGAAGCTATCGCGACTCAGGCGGTCACCACTGAGCCTACCACCAACGACATTGAGACCACGGCCGGACCCAGTGGAACCGAAGACGCCGCAGCCGGCCACGAACACGATGATGACGCAGCATCCGTAGCCAGCAGCGCCCTCACAGAGAACTGGAAGCACTCCTTTGATGAAGACCTCAGCGACGCCCTCGCTGGCATCCAGACCCAGGGCACCTTTGCCTCGTTCCACCCCCTGAAGCGCGTGGACCCAGACCTCTCCGTCCAGGATGTTGGAGCCGTCAGCCTGCCGCTGTCAGAGTCGACGGTACGGCAGCTGATCGACAAGGCCATCCGCGCTCCGTTCGGTAAGGGGAGCGAGACCATTGTCGATACTGCTGTGCGCAACACGTGGGAGCTGGATCCTAGCCAATTCAAGCTCCGGAGTCCGCGCTGGGCAGCAGATTTGCAAAAGATTTGCGCTGTTGTGGCAAAAGATTTGGGCGTCACGTTGCCTGTGACAGCGGAGCTGTATAAGTTGTTGATATATGAAAAGGGGGCCATGTTCAAGGCTCATACCGAGTAGGTCTCCTGCGTGTGATGTCGTTCATTTGTGTGAGGACAACGAATGCAAGAGCTGTATCAAATGGCTGACCTTTTCGGGCCAATAACACCGAGAAATGTTCCGGCATGTTCGGAACTCTCGTCATCTGCCTTCCCTGTGGCCACAAGGGAGGCGACGTGGTAGTCAAGCACTGCGGTGAGACAAAGACCTTCAAGACTTCGGGAGCAGACCAGTCCTTTGCGTGCTGGTACTCGGACGTCCACCACTAAATTCTGCCCGTCACGGAGGGCTACCGCGTGGTGCTCACGTACAACCTCGCCGTCGACCCTGCGGCCTCGCGACCATCTGCGGGATTGCGGAGGCAAGAGACTCGCGGCCTACGCCACACCCTCCGGCGGTGGCTGAAGGACCCTGATGCTGGCGAGATCGATCATGTCTATTACGGCCTGGGCCACGAGTACACCGAGGCCAACATCTCGATGAATGCGCTCAAGGGGCGAGACGCGGCCATTGTGCAGACGCTTCAGGAGCTCTCCGCGGGGCTCGAGTTTGATGTGCTTCTTGCGCTGACGGAGAAGAAGGAGATTGGGCCGACAAAGTATGCGGGCAATCCACAGAAAAAGGTCAAGAAAACTCGGCGAAAACGCAAGCAGACGAAGAGATGGTCTGAAGCAGAGTTGCGGGAGGGAGCCGACTTATTTGACATGCGGGTGGAGGACTTTGAATCCAGCTCGGATGGGTTCGATTCAGATCCCAATGAGGCACAGATGTCTCACGAGACTGAGGTCCCGACTTATAAGTCTCTATCTGTCAAGGTGGTCGTAGACCTGAGCGGGAGTCCGATACTTCGTGATGTTGGGTTGGATTGGAACAATGTTCTTGATGCTATGGAGTTCTTTGGTGGCGCAGAACGACACGAAAAGTATGAAGGATATCAGGGCAACTGGGTAGGTCTACCATCTAGAGGGGTGGCAGGTACGCTCGCCATGCTGACAATAATGAACTGCAGGGACCGACAGCTACCCACTGGTACTGCACGACGGTAAGTTTGTTGTATATCCCCTTCCCACCGGCGCCTTGCCGCTGACGTCCTACTCAGGCCGTGCTCATCATTCGCCGGGACAAAATCTCTTCGTTCCTCAAAGGTAGAATGACGGACAAGTGGGATCCCGATGAGAACCACTCAGTACTGCTCGATTATCTGACAGACTCTGTTCTCAAGGCTTTGCAGAACCGCAAGTCGTCCTACGAGACCCTGAAGGACATATGGGGCACGTCGATCCTTCGCCCAGAAACGAGAGCCCACACCCTGAGCAGGATGTTGCGATCCGCCGTGGCGTTGAAGGATTTCGAATTTTTCGAAAAAGTCAGCGAGAGCAGAATCGACAAGGAAGGGGAGAGGCCCCTGCCCGCTAGCTACTATCAATTGCTTTACGACAAAGTCTCAGACGGCGAAGTAGCTTTTTCTCATATAAAAAAGGGGTACGTGTTCTATGCAGTTCTCTGTCCCATGCTTCCAACTTTCGTCCTCATTAACCACGTTACGGTCGTTTCCAGCTTGACTTCCACAGTCCTCAAGGGTCGACAATTCTTCGAGATCTGCGAGACGGTCTGGGCCTTTGCTCCTCCCGATCAACCCTTGTCTGACGAAATTCGGGAATGGGCACGAGCAACGCTCACCAAAGGTTTAAAGGACATTGCTGATGCAGCAATATTCATCCGGCAAGATGGTCTAGCTTTGGTGATGTGCGCCGAGAGGTATGCCGACTTTGAATGGCTTTCCTCAGTGTAAGATTATTCCAAGAAACCCCAAATCACCGCCAGACGTACATATCGCTGACTCTCGATTACAGTGTCATGCCCTTGATCGAGGAGCTACTTGTCAGCACACCAGCTTTTGCGCTAGAGTTCCTATCAGCGCTGCTCTCGGGTGCGAGACGCAAGGCTTTCCCGGTGACTCAGGCTGTCAACTTGTACAAGAGACTCGCCAGAGACCTCATCTCGATGCTCGACCTCGAAAAGGTCCACGGGCCCAGAGGCGATGACCCAGCCCACAGGGCGGCGAGAAACACATACGGCCGGACGGCGCCTCATGCCCCTGATCACCGCCTCGCCCTGACCCACGTCGCCGTAGCAGACCTCTTCTCCGGCCTCATTAAGCTCGCGTCCTCCCCTCCGCAAGAGGACCTCGTCCTACCGCTGGTCCTCAAAATCGTCAGCCACGCCCCCAAGATGCAGCCCCTCGACTTTCCTGTCCTCTGGATCCCGCTCCTACGCGAACTCCTCGCCATCCTGGAAGCCACCAAGACGCCCCTCGACACCCCGCGCTACCAACAACTCTTCGCCGCCGTCTTCGAAGCCTATCGTGACAACTACGTTGGCTCGAAACCAGTCCGTCCGCCATCAGGCCAGCTGGGAAGCGGTATGTACCTCGTGCAATTCTGCACCTGCGGCGACTGCAGCAAGCTCGACAACTTCCTCGCCAATCCGTCGCAAACGTCACTTCGCTTAATCATTGGCACCAAAAAGCAGCGGCATCACGTGCGCAGGGTCATCTATGATCACGGCATTCAAGTCACGCACGAGACTGAGAGGTTTGCGCCCGGAGGGCCTACGATGGTGATTACCAAGATGGGGCAGATGGATGTCGCGAAGCAACAGGCGAGGGCAAAGGAGGCCGAAGCGGTCTTCCAGGCGTTTGATCAGACCAATTTGGGGGTGTTGCTTGGTGAGGATTACCCGGCCATTGCGACGGTGTTGTGGCAACGGCCGGTGAATTTGGTGCCGGGGCGGGGCGGTGTGAGATATCCGCCGGCTCCGGTTGCGGCTCCGGTTGTAGCCGCTGTCCCCCCTCCTGTTCCCGCTCCGGGACCTGCTGCTGCGGATTACGTACCGCTGGGGCATACCATTGTGGCGGCAGTCGGGCCCGCATGGATTCCACCGCCCACGAATCGTCATCAGCCGATGATCGGATCTGAACGGGGCCCGCCGCCGGAGGATTTAGAATACAATACGACAGTAGAGGACTATTGGCGCGCTAGAAATCCTCGGTCCAGGAGCGGTCCACAGCCGATGAACGGACCGGTGCAAACGCCTACAGAAATGCAATCCGCGCCTAGGCCTTTTGCGCCGACGACAGGAAATGCTGGAGGACCGTTGCGGCCGCCACCGTCTGTTGCGAATGGGATGGGTTTGGATGCAGTTCCTGGGCCAAGTCGGGCTCCGCCGCCTATTGCTGGGACGAAACGGAAGGCTGAGCCGGAAATTATTGATTTGACGTAGGTTGCTAGGTATTGAAATTGAGTTAGAAATTTCTAAAATCCTCTCTTGGTATTTCATAATAGTTTGTGAGAGGATAGGTATAGTTATAAGATACTCATTAGTGAGTTGCTGAGGAAGTCGAGAACGGCAGTGAGACCGGATCACTAGAAATCGACCTCCATATACCGCACGCCGCGCCATCATCATGTAAGTCAAAGTGACCCCTACTCTTGTTTGCAGAGGACATGATGCATTCTGCGTAGAGAGAAGGGTTTGACGCTAAGGTGAGGTGGCCCACAGAAGCTGTATACGTGAAAGGGATTAGGATAGGCAATGTTCGGGCTTCTTGACCCAACGGATCTGGCAGGCTCTCTTGGAAGATTGGGAGGTTCAGCCTGATTATATCCGAGTATGAGAATTTGGACTTCTGAAGAACCTAAGAACAGAGTGGCTGGGGATGCTCAACGGAAGTCCCCACGTACATATAGTCTTGGTCTCTAGTCATTTCATGGACGGACAATACTTTAGATAAGATATTATGATACCAGTGCCTCTTGGAAGAATCTTCCTCCCGCTTCCACCATTCCTACATTCAACTAAGATAGCATATTGGAATCCATCCAACCGAGATCAGGGTGAACATCCCCAGCCTCCAAGGAGATAAAGCTCCATACATCGCCGTGCCTCATTGCTAGGTTCCCAATTTCCATGCTCTGAGCAGGACTAGTCAGCAGAACTTTCAACGGCCCGGACTCTCCCAGGTCCTCCCGTTTTGCTAAATGTTCGAAGGCCGTCGCTACCTGGTAAACATCTTGTTTCCAGGGATCCTGCTCATACCAAGAGATACCATCAATGATGCAGAATACAGTCATTTGAGGCGGAGCCTGCTTGATAATTTCAACGAAGATCTTGCAGAGAGTATAGCAATCTCCCAGACTGCAGGCCTCCAACATACTCTCTGATAGGAATCCTAAGTCTGGGGCAGGCAACTTCTGGATCTTCAGCAGCTGGGCTATAAGGCTCCTCATCATAGCTCTTGGCCCTGTGTTCTTGCCTTCCGGTGCCGCCACGTCAGTATGGAGCCCCGCGAAGAAGAAAACCACCGCTGAGTCCTCATCTTCGAGAAGAGCTGCGATTACCCCACTGCATATGGCGGAAAGTGGAGACACAATCGAATGGTCAAAGCAGCCATCCACGAGCAGTAAAGATGAACCACCTTGGCGAAACCATTGGCGGAACTCATCGGTCTCAAGCAGCCATTGTGCTCTCCCCTTCTCCTCTAGATCAAGAACTTCAGCCTCCTCCATGACAAAACCTATATCGCCTGCTGAGCCGCCTGCGGCGACTTTAAGAGCAGCCAGTAGATGTAGCGATCCAAAGGAACGAGTGTGTTCTCGTCGAAGACTGTTGTTGGATAGGCGACTGCGAAGTGTGGCATTCTCAACACTGAGATGGACGTTTTCTGTTCATATGTGGTTAGCCTCTTGTGGGAGAATATGTTGCTTATGGCTGTACTTACTTTCCTGCATGGCCCGGTAATGTTCTCTGTCTTTAGAGAAACTCGCCCGCTCATTTTGTAAAGACTGCCGCTCTTGCTCTAGCTGACTCTCTTTTTGCTCCAGCTGACTCTCTTTCCTTCTGAAGGCCTCCGTCTGCTCCTTTTTTCCCCTCATCAAATCCTCCAAGTGTTCCTTTGCTGTCGAAGCCAAATCCGCAGCGATCTCGTTCGTATAAGCCACCTCAAGTAAGAGAGCATTCTCGTTTTGGATACTCTGTAAGATGATGCCTTGCATAGCTTTGCTCTCTTCAAAAAGCATGCGAATTCCTAGCTCTGTAGCCTTAGATCGTTCACTTATATTTTTCAGATCCTGAGGAAATTGAGAAAGCATGGCTAGTTTCATCCGCTTCACGTGCTCCTCCAGACGCCCAACTTCCTGATTCCACCGTGTGAGGATTTGGTCAACCGTGGAAGTCTCAGGAATTCTGAGTAGAAGTTGTGCAACCACTTTGCGGTACCCTTGAAGATGCAAAATTAGCTAGAGCTCGTGAATTGATGTCTGTGTCAAACCTCGTCTTGGGGCTCTCACATGGCTCATTGCCTAAGAGGATTTTGATAAGAACGGGAAGATCTTCAAGAAGCATGCTGATTACTTCGGTACAGAGATTTTTGTCCACGGAAGCCGGCTTGAGGAGATCGAAGGCCATGTTGATTGTCAAGATGCTTTCGGGGATGGTTTCGAATGTCGCAAGTATCCGGCTTCTGTTGTCTTCGTGTGCCTTTGTTGCCTACGTATCATATGTCAGCAAGTACTTATGTTCCCTATCATATTAAATATCACATGAACTAGATTTGAGAAGATGAAGCTGCAATTCACCTCGAAAATGAGAGCAAGACCGCCTTTCAGAATCCAAATGCCGTACTCGTCCGGCAAGGCACTGGTAATTCCGGTCACTATATCGGCACTGGCAGCTATCTTTGAGCTAATTCCTGTTTTCTCATCATGCTGTTGCTTAGCAGCAGCCATTTGCTCAAAGACCTTGTTCCAGGAAATGTTCTCGACCCTATCGCTGGCTGGCAAATCTTCATCATGAGAGGCGATAATCTTCGCTAGGTCCCTACACACATGGTCTGAGTCTGCCGTCAGAAGGTGAATGCGGGCAAGTGGACACACTCTTTTCCCAAGTTGCTTTGAGAATGAAAAGTCTCTGTGTTCTCTTCGTACTGTAATGGTCGAACGCTGCCAAAGCGTTCCTGGAAGAATCTTTTGAACGTGTTCGGACTTGTTGACCTATTCCTGGTTTTCGATCGCTGTGAAGGTCGACGACGATGCAGGATTCCAGGAAACTTTTTGACTGGATCCATTGTCGAAGCCGTGTTGGGAGTCTAAGGGGGCATGTGAGAATCACGGACGTCGAACGAAAGCCGAAAGAGGCCAAGCAATGCTGCCGTGGTCGCAGTGCTGAAGTAAATGAGACGGTGTTACGATTTCTTCACCTTCACCAAGCTGGATCGCTCAAGAGTTGTCTAAAAGTTCGAATCACTTGGAAACTCAAGAAGATGAGATACCTGTTCCGGTCGACCTCGGGCAGGCTCGACCCTCAATGATGGTTGAACCGACAAGCTACGTACTCTGCGGGGTTGTCGCCCGATTTGATAACGCTCCTGCTTCTTAAAGTATCTGAACCCGATTTTAGGCCGCGAGTCTCGAGAATCATGTCACATTTTTCTCTTCATTCGTAACACCCGCTCCACTGGACAAGCGCTAAGCCCCAGCCTGCTCCTCAGCCTGCTGCAATATCGGATGACGACCGTTATGGCTGCAGCTGTGCGACCAAGAAATCTGCAATGCAACCATGGAAAGTCTGCAGAGGACTCTCGTTTAAGATCACATCGCTGCCATCTCTACGGCACGTGGCTATCTCAATGGGAAGGACCGACTTTAGACCTATCTGCAACCTTTGGCTCCCTGATAAGTATCTCTTCTATCAGTCCGATTCATCCTGGTCATATCACGCCCATCGTCGCACCCGAGCTCTAGGACCATTTTCCTGGCCTTTAACGAGGAGAAGTTCATATGATGGAAGAAGATCGCATCGCCTTTGAGGCGAACGCTCCAGCCGTCCTTCCAGATCCTGTGGGTGATGGTACGAAGAACGATATTTCAGATGGTGCAACGAAAGATCCTACAGAAAATGCCGTGCTTCCCAACACGGAGTTACCCAAAGACAACGCTGATGCTGGCAGGGGACCGCCAATTCCTGTTTACCTTCCCCCAGGAAGCAACGTTCTACCATTTGAAGAAAGGGTGGCAAAGCCTGGAGTCCGATACTACAACTACCAAGGCTTCTTGAACCGGCTGAATTCAGATGGAGGTGACTTTGGCATTGAAGTCCTCGTCGCAGGATCTGACTGGCATGAGGAGGTCTCAGTCGAGAGGCATAAGAGATGGGAACCGTCGCCCCCTCCTCCTCCACCGGTGTCGGCACAGCGTCCAGCAGTGACAAGACAACTGCCTAAACAGCCAACAGTCGATCCTCCGGACTCATCTCCCAAGCAACCACCACAGCCACCACCACTGTACATGGAGGCTCCGAGCACAGGCTATGTTCCGCCTTTAGTTCGAAACAGAGTATCTGAGTACCTTGCGGCCGATCCACTCGAAAGAAAGTACTCCTTCAGCGATAAAATCGAGTTTCCATCGGGCTCTGAGAACGTTCTCGAAGGACGTATCATGCGCATCAGAGTCCGAAGCCCGACAATCATAGCCGCTCTTGGAGCCGCCTCAGGTTGCAGGCATTTGTTAAGTGACAATCCAGTCTATGAGTTCGGTCGCCCGTTTCGAATCATTGAGGAGTTTCACGACGAGATTAAAAAGAAGCTGGCCGAGATGGAGAGCATACACTTGGAATCTGCTTCATCAAGCGACATAGCCCTAGTTGAGGATGTTACCTTGTCCAGTCAGGACACTGCTTCTCCAGCAGAGTCACTCAAAGCCACTGCTGAGCTGATTCCGGGCGAAGTAACGCCGGAAGGGAAAGAGGAAGGCTTACGATTTTCGACGGAGGATTTGGAGCATATGAGGCAGTACGTCGGCTTTGTGGAAAAAGCCATTCTTCCAATTCGTGGCACATTCCGAAACGTGGAACACAAGACGCCTCCACGCGTGTGTTTCGAAGACATACCATACCTTTTCAAACCAGGAGCGTTGGCTATCGTGTCAGAGAAAGAAATATCTGAGAAATCACTTCACCGGTCTGCCGTTCAACGTGTTTGGAGACTCGTGTCGTGCCAACCTTCTGATGTTCGAACAGCGCCGTTTCGCGATGAGGATGATGATAATGAAGAAGACGAATTCACAAACAGCACTACATGGAGCATGTACTGTCTCGACTATGATGGAGAGACACTGGTGCCTGTCTGGAAGACCATTCGTTTCCAACGATTTCACGGAGAACGGGATATTACTTCTTTGGAGTGCTACCCACTGGATTTTGACTTCAAGGGTGAAAAAGTCCTTGAAGAGCAAAAGGTCTCGGGTAAAAGATTCAAAACATGCTTGACTGGAAAGTGGAAGCACTTTTTCTACTTAGGATGGACTTTCATCACTGGCCTTCGTGCTGAAGCCCTAGAACATGAGAACGGCAACACTATCCAGCATCCGGAGTATATAGAGAGCGAGATTGTTGTTGACTTCAAGGAAGCGCTCCAGAGCTATCCTGGATGGGAAACCGAACGATTAACTCCATATATTGTGGATAATGCTTGGGATTGGATCGCATCAGCACAACTCCCACTGCGAATCTGGGAGGAAGACCGTAAAGGCTCTTACGGCAGACGGCGGTACCGAGGTGTGCGCTCCCCGGTCCTCATCGAAGAGAGTGAACTCTACAGACGGGAAGCAGACAAATGGGAAGATGAGGACATTTTCCTCTCCGGAAAAGCGGACTTCATGAGCAAGGATTGGTCTGATCAGGATTTAGCTCTTCTTCCCAAGAGGGTATTTGCCTATGTCTTACGAGAAAGGAGGTTTGCCCGCCTTGACGTTGGGGGCATCGAACTAGATGCGGAGCAAAGCACTGTGACTCTGGACGACATCCAGATGGATCGTAAACGCAGGCTGATGATCCGGTCGGCAGTATCGGCTCATTTCAGAGACAAAACCAAGCCCTCGACCTCTGAACTCGACATGTTTCGTGGCAAAGGAAAGGGTCTCATCATACTTCTTCACGGTGCCCCTGGAGTCGGTAAAACCGCTACAGCGGAGGCCGTTGCAGCTGAGAACAACAGACCGCTCTTTCCCATCACCTGTGGTGACTTAGGGTTCTCTCCAGGCGAGGTCGATAAGGCTCTTCGGGACATCTTTCGCTACGCTCACTTGTGGACTTGCATATTGCTTTTTGATGAGGCCGATGTATTCCTCACGCAAAGGGATCGCAGCGGTGGAAATCTTGAACGCAATGCTCTCGTAGGAGGTAGGTTTGTTTCATCCCTCACGTTCTTACTCTGCTAAACAGTGTCACATTAGTGTTCCTCAGAGTTCTGGACTACTACAGCGGAATTCTCTTCATGACAACCAACAGAGTTGGGGCTCTCGATGAAGCGTTTCAATCTCGAATGCATCTCAGTCTTTCTTACCCCAACCTGAGCTTAGGCGACACAATCGAGATTCTGAAATTCAATCTCAACCGGCTCCCAAGAATCAACAAAGCCGAGGGCAAGACGGCGCAAGGCGGGTACCTGAAGATTTTCGACAAACCCATCATAGAGTACGTCAGTAAAGAGTACGAGGACTATTCTGCAAGAACCAAAAAGAGTAGAGGGCCCTGGAATGGGAGGCAGATTCGTAATGTAGTTCAGGTCGCAGCAGGTCTTGCTCTCTACGAAAAGCAGACTGGATCAGGAGACAACAGCGATGAGGACGATCCACCGTATCTAACCGCTGAACACTTCCGAGCCGTCGCGGATATGACCTACGAATTTGAGGACTATCTGAGCCTTGCCGGAAAAGGTGACGCCCAGGTTCAAGCCGCGCGCCGCCGGGACCGTGCAGACCAGTTTCATGGAAGTCAAGATCATGACAACTCGGTTTTCCAAAGCTTCTCTGACTTGGAAAGAAGAAGATCAACGCCGGGGGGTCGACATGGAAGTTATCGGGGAGACGATACTCCCTCTAGAAGTGGCGGTCACGCATCAGGTGTAAGAGCTTCCGTCGGTCGAGCTCGTGGCTCAACGCCAAGATCACCCGGAGTGACTGGCCAAGATTTTGGCACAAATCCGAGGCCATCTCCCAGAAACTATGCTCGAGGGCCGGAGCGCTCTCGTCCGAGTGAAGTTCCCCACCGTTCTCAAGAACGTGATGAGGACAGCTATTTCAATGAGCCTGAGCAAAGGATGGACCACTATTCTGGCGACGAAAGCGAAGTCCACGGGGGCAAATACGGTTATGAGGAGCGTTCTCAATTTCAGTCATCCTTTTCCTAGGGAGTGGCCGGTGAGCAGAGTTTGCGGCAGGCCTGGCGTCGCTGCCAAGCGGGGCTTTAGGCGAATGTTAGGAGGAGTACATGCGGACATTTTTTTCATCTTAATCAGGATCGTTCCTTGGGAACACTTCGAAAAGAGATAAGTAGGAGATTTTCGCTTGGATTAGCTTCAACACATTCGTAGCTCCTTAAGTAGATATTCAACATATCTCATCAACTGCTAGATGGTGTCAGTACAAGGTGCGTACTTTGATAAAGGGAATAGCAAATAATCTCATAATCCGATCTTATTTCCTTTATATCCGCCTACGAATAATCTCGAAATAGAGCAAAGTTAGAGAAAGACTAGAGTCGGATGTAGTGACGGATGTAGTGACGCCATCCGGCAGTTAATGGGATACTTAGGATTCTTGCGTCTCACGTCCCTAGCATAAAGGCAACTTGAACGATAATTGCATGGAATCTAGAGACACTGCTCAAGTAAAGCTCATACTTCGAGCTGAACGTACTTAAAAGTGAGGTGCTGTGTCCAAGTACGTTGTTATCGAAAAGAGTGCTAATTTCCTTCATATTAACCCGTACCAAGTGAAGCATGACTGGCCAAGCTGAGGCAAGCACTGGCCCAAACTCTGTTCTCTTCAACGCAGATCTTCCCGCGCGTTCAGCGTAGGCGGACTACGGAGCTGTCCGTCACCGACTGCCTGACTCGAATGCATATTAAGTGACCGTGTAAGAGTTCGTATTTTGAATTCGGTACGGATTAAGGGGGATAAAGTCTCCTTGCCTCATATAAACATGAGATTCAAGTCCCTAAGAAAGTGAAGTGGCTTCCGCGGTCTTTCTCGTTACAATTTGTCACCAACTATTTACAATCCTTCCTCTAAATCACTCTAGAAACATGCGTGCCACACTTATGTTTGCGATTACGTCCTTCGCGACCAGCGCTATCGCAGCTAGGTCAATGGGCTACTGCCAAAACTCAGCAGGTGACGGCGGGAGCCTCGAAAAGACGAGGTTCTGCTGCGACTCGCAATTCGACTTCCGCTTTTCCGAGGTAAGTTCCAACAAATTTTCCCTCGTTCGCTGGCCACCAACACCGAAGACAATACTAACGTGGGAGAATGGTAGTCTGGCATATGTAACATCCCTGCGGACTCATGCCGGGGCATCAGCGCGTGCTGCGGGACTGGTTTCTACGTCTTCAACACTTGCCCCGACACTTTTCCTTGTGCGAACAGTGCGGTGGACAAGGTCTGTCCTCAGAGTTAGTCGTGGCTATGCCAATAAACTAGGAGGACTGAAGATGAATCTACATGATGTTGGCCACTTTAAATCTCGGCGCGAACCGCAACTCACTCATAATGGCGTAAGGCCGACTAGCCCGGCGGCGACCTCACCCTCGTCGAAAGCTTTTATGAATAGTAGAAATTACCAACAAGCAAGTAAAAAGGCCCTGGATTTCTTGCAAGAGGTTGTAGCTCGGCACCTGAGGATGATTTGCCATTTGCCCAACGCTGTTGTCGCCATGACAGCCCCAGATCCTTGATATTCAACTTACGCTTCTGAAGCCGACACATACGACCATACCCATTGGAAAACTCGGGATCCCGTCCGCTCTCCCATAGATAAGCCAATGAGGGCCGGATTAGTAGTTGGGTCGGTGACGACCAGCGAATACCCGGTGTTGTATGTTTTTGGGTCCGTTTTTGCCATCGTAAACGGACCCGTGGACCTACTCCGTACAACTCTCCGTAATGCTGCGCCTGTGGGGCCGGCGTCCGGGAGGCTGCCGCGCCTATCATTGTGGGAACCATCATGATGGAATGACACACAGGGGCTTACCAATGCCCAAATAGAAAGATGATATATATCGCACAAGGAATCAAACGGCCTCCTTCTCCTGTTTTCTTTTCCAGAACAAGCTTTGCTTGGGGATGTTTAAAAGGAGGAGGATACTTTAAGTGACATGATCGGAAGGAAACGCCAACCTCGCTATCCGTTACCCTAGAGTGATGCCATCATTTTGAATGCTCTGTCCTTACCGGTTGTTTCTGCCATAGTAAGGCGTGCGTACCTGCTGTCTAAACAAGGCGGAAAGCCCATGCCTTTTGTAAGTCACTCAGGCGGATCGTTGTAGGTTCCATGCTCTTGCCAGCTAGAAGAGCTTTGACATCAAGTTGTGTCTTCTTTACATGAATGCTGCCCTGCCACAACTGGGTTCTCGTAGGACTTGCGCTTGCTCAAGTGAGAGCAGACATAATCCAGGTGCGCCTGCGAAAATAGGAACATTGCGAACTACACCCCAGAGCCTTCCGTGTTGATGCACTCTTGCTTTCGCTGCTAGGGAAGCTACAGGTATAGATAATACTTCTGAGCTGGTGCTTAGCCCGTGTTCTGTCCCTGACATCTTCGTCTTCCCACTTCAATGCCATCATCTCCCAACGTCCATCTTCTTCTCCTCCAGCCTCTTCATCATTGGAAATCCATCTCGTTGTTCACCTCCATCGTCCATCGTCCGTCGTCCGTCGTCCGTCGTCTATCGTCCATCCTTTTCTCTTCTAGCTTCTCCTCCAGCTTCTCCTCCGTCATTGTAGTTCGATCTCGTCTTTCGTCCCCATCGTCGGGATGAACGTCATCCAGCCAGACCATCGTATTACCTTTCGGTTTCTTTGGCATGCGGTTCACTCAAGGTCTTTCGGCCGTTTGTTTGTATCCCCCCTTTTGCATTCTTTGCTGCCAACCTCAGCATCTAACCTCATGCTGCCTCGACTCTGAACACACTGAAGGCTTCCTCGTATAATGTTGTCTATTAATGACCGGGCCAGGTAAGGTTCCTAACATGTGCAGTCCTCCCATCTGCCACTCTTGGTGAAGCCGAGCTAATTCTGATTCTTTAAACCCGATGCTCATTCACAAATAAGCCATTCCCGACGGCCATCCTTTACAGCCTTCGTTGGACCATGTTGAGTCGAGGTCTTCCCAGCCAAGCGCTCCCACGCAATGGTATTACCAACGGCATTGATCCCGCGATCATGGTGTCTCGACAGAGACACAAACGGCCCCATGGAATAGGACACCAGTCCCGACCTCAGACCTTTTTAGGTTTTATCATCATTGGCCATAGGATATCCTATCCTCTATTGGTGAGGACCCCCAGTGATGACTGCCCTACGGGGCGTTACGACTTTTTCCGAGTTTCGACAATGAGGAATGTATCTCGTCTGAGGGGAGATGTAGCCCACTTAGCCTTTGGCTAACCCTATGGGATAGTATACCGGTCCCGACCTCAGACCTTTTCAGGTGTATCGTCATCGGCCATAGGATACCGTTGCCCTGCGGGGTGTTGCGACTTTTTCCGAGTTTCGATAACGAGGAAAGGAAAGTATCTCGTCTGAGGGGAGACGTAGCCCACTTGGACTCTGGCCAACCCTTACATGCGGGATAGATGATGCTCTAGCATGAGCCCTGCCGCTGTGTTGTGGGCGTCATCAAACTCGATTCGCAACTGCACTACGTGCAAGGAACATGACAGCTGACGACTTGCTGCTGGGGAGCTATCCCCATACACTCGTACAATATTACCGGCTTTCTGGTGTGTTGATGGGCCAGGTGGTTAAAAGCGGGAAGTAGAAGGAAAGTAGGAAATGCTTGTTTGTAAGGAAAAGCTCCGAGGCAGGGACAGAGTAAAAAAAGGGCACAGCACTAAATATACCTTTGAAGTTCTCGTTGCCGTATTGCTTTTGGGTCGACGCTTTCTTCTTTTTCGAACGATTTCAATTCATTCGTAATAGAAATGCTGATGGGAGCTGCTTCATCGAGCTAGACTATCCCCCGAGGCCGGATCCTGGCTTTCTTCTCGGACTGCAGAAAGGTCCATCCCGACGTGCGGATGGCTGTGATAGCAGAGAAGTCGGGGAAGCCGGCGGGTTAGAGGGAGACGTGCAGGACGACGGGGTAGTTCGCCAGTTTGTAGAGGTGGGAGATGGCCGCCAGGAGGACGGAAGATGAATTCGTGACGACGACGAGTTTGCCGGCGCGCGACGGCGCGAAGACGGAGAGGAGCGTATCGGCATTGTGCCTGACGAGTAGATGTGAAATAATGAAAGAAAGAAAAAGGAATTGAGGCCGAGACAGAAATCGAAAAGGAGGAGGGCCTTTTATACACCAAGTGAGACTACCAAGGTATTGATTCCAACCTTTATGGCCTTCGGTCGGCTGGCCTTGTCGTAACGAGGGGCCTGAACGCTGGGCCATGCGCGTGAATTCGATTGAGTCTGCAAAGCCTTAATCGGCTGGCTTCGTGGGATTTCTTTCGGCTTGACCACGTGTGGGCTCGCCCTGAGGCCTTCAGACAGCGGGTTTCACGAACCGTCAATCGGCTGGACCACGAAGCCCTCGATCGGCCCGCTTCGTGGGCATCCGGCACACAGAAAGGCTGGCCGGGCTCTACAGACATAGGTCATTTAACCTGCGCGTCTGAGCATATTTTCATTCTGGGAGTAATCAACATTGACAGGCCTGAAAGCCTGGAGGCCAAGGGCTAAAAACGAAAGAAATCGAAGGTTGGGCGTGAAAAGGTCTGTTATCTCGATGTGTGTGTGACCGACTTCTTTGGCGACGGAGGCCCGCAAGGTCTGCAAGGCGATCATCTATCCGCAAGCCTGAGCTATCTCTGCCTGCAGAATGAACTTTATTCAGGTCACACCCTGCAGGTCACACCCTGGGGTAGAATTATCTGCTAGTGTCAAAGAACAAGTCGACGGGATCTCACCGTCTTAGACTGGATTTCATCGGTTATACTATGGCTTGCTCCGTCTGTTTTAAGGAACAGTGCCCACCGCTTTAGGTTGGCGAAGCCATCGTGAAAAAGGCCGCCTCAGCTCTATCTAGACGATACTAGTGAGGGCCGGATTAGTAGTTGGATCTGTGACGACCAGCGAATGCCTGGTGTTGTATGTTTTTGTTTTGCTTCGCTTCGCTTCGAAGGTGACCCAGTCTTTTGCTAGTAGATCGTGGGTGGTGGGCGGTTGTGATCGGGCATGACCCCGAGAACAAGCGTTGGAGATTTTGTTGTGCAGGCACTGTTTGATAGCTTAGTGTACTTGCTCTGCAAATGTCATTTTCTTCCCATACTCATAAAAACCACAGGGTATGGTATCTCTACCGTGAGCACCGGACCTTCAACCCCTGAGACAGCTGCTTAGGCTATCTTGCCCTTGCGGTCGTTGAAGCAGAGACGAGAACACAAGCAATTAACCCAAAGCCTAAAGCATTGGCAGTTCTTATTCCGAACTCATAGTTTGAGCACGTATCGTATGTGTTATTCACATTGCTAGGCCCCCAAAGAAGAGGCCTCTCAAGCATTTTCGCAGAAGGTGGCTAGGCTCATATTTAATGAGACGGAATACTATACTAATACGTTTTCTTTGCTAAAACAGGCCATGAATACAATTGACATCTGTGATTAATGCGAGAGTTTTGGAGATGCTTTTGGCTGGGATGTAGCAAACCATAGAGCCGCAAGCATCCGCGGGCTCACAGACCTTCGTCATTTCGGTTTTTTCTTTCTAAACTAACCTTCCCCTATATGAAGCCCCCTACAGCCGAACTAAACCAAATCACCTCGCCATCGCTGATGTCCATAGCTGTGGAGGGCTGACAATGGTGGTCTTCGACAGCTTGTCATCAATAGTGAATCTAAGATCCATGGATGTGCGCATGCTTCCGGCAAAACGGTACTGCACCTGGACCCTCTATCATTCAGGATACGCAATCTGCGAGAGAGACAACCGCCCATGTACTCTCTCCAACCAAGCTTTGAGGTTGTTGAAGCCAGGAGGTTTATTGTACTTCTGTCCTCGTATCAAAAGCTGGCAACAACTACAGACTGTTTATCCTATCTTGTTCTCCCCACCATCACGACCTCCCTGAAGAGATCACAAACATGAATTCTGTTAAAAGTCCGCTACAGTATTCACGCGTACTAGTACTGTCAATTGCTATTTGGGTCGGTAGACTCATCACGGATAGCGAGGAGAGTGTCGATAAGGTGATAGCAAGCGGTGACACAATAGTTTGCCGTATAACACAATATACCTTGGCTCTATAGATATTTCTCCTATTCCTATCATTATATTCAATAAAGATAATCAAAAGAAGGAGAAGAAGGAAAAGAACAATAAAATTGTTAGTACTAATAATTACAGGAATAATAGAGGTAGAGCCAGGGCATAGAGCGGCATCCCGTTTTGTCACCTACTTGGGTTGGAGAGTTACACGGAACCTTGAGCGGGCTGATCATGACCCACTCGCTGTCGGCATATTGACCATACTGAGCATGTCAACTTAGCAGGCTTGCTCTCATCCAGCTGCTCGAGGAGGACAAAGGCCTCACAATAACCCTTGAGGAATCCAAGAGCGCCTTCTGGCTGCGGGCGAGGTCGTCGGTGTTGACTCAGGCAGGGGCGCCCAGAGCGAGGGGCAGAATGCTGGCAACGGTGAGAAGAGAATATCGGAAACTGCATCTTGCACGAGTTGGGGAGGTTGGTTGGGAATGGTTTTGAGACCAGGTGTAGATTGGAACTGGGAATGTGTGATCGCGTTCGCGAAAATCGCCCTAATTAAACCACCTGGACTATATGTACTACGAATATGACAGGATGCAAAGTGTCCCTCGGCAAAATTTCAGTATGCCCCAGTCCGCTGACTCCAGCCCGGTGCCTCAACAACCTTGACCTCCTCCCGCCCCGTCGTCACTACCTCGCCGACATCGAGCCGGAAGTTCTGCACACGAGCCCCGCCCTTCTCGAGAGCCCAGACGGCTAGACCAATGTAATTGGTCCCCTGGTACCGGAGGATGCCCTCGGGCACGGGGAACCTGGTCTGCGGACCAATATTGCTCACGTACCGCCCGTACTGGAACCCATTCACGTAGAGGATGGCGCGATACGCTCCAGTACCGTTAGACGCTGCAATGTCGTCGAAAACGAACGATATAGGCACATCGAGATCCGAAGCAGGGACCTGTAGATCCAGTTTCGCGGCGTAGAATGCCACGCCGGGCGCATCTGTCCCTTCGAATGGCGAGCGAAGCAGGTTGAGCGCCGCTTCGGGCGGAGAGGGGAGGTGGTAGCCCTGACGCTCGACAAAGAGCCCTCCCTCGTTCAACGGGCCGCGGAACCTGTCGGCGTAGTTCTCGCCGCCGAGGTTCCCCGTAATCTTCCACGTCGTGACGTTCGTCTGGGCGCCGGAGGGTGACGTGATGCTGTAGTCCATGATCCCGCGCGGGTTCTTCATCACGTCCGCGGGGATGACAAAGTTCTCCTCGAGGCCGGTCGTGTCGACGAGCACGGTCAGGACGTACGTCGCGCCCGCGGTGAGGTTCGTCAGGGTATAGTTGGAGTTGTTATCGCCCGCGGTGTCGGGCCCGTTGGCAAAGGAGCCGAGAAAGGTGTCATTTAGCCAGACGGAGCTCGCAAAGGCGGAGCCGCCCTGGGTTGTGATGTTGAGCTTGTCTTCTGTGCCGTTTGAGGTGAAGTAGCCCCGGAAGACGAGCGTGCCGGTGTGGAAGCCGTAGTCTGAGGCGAAGAGGGAGACCGGTGTCGTGAGGTTGGAGATTGTGTTGTTTGTGGTTTTGTGGTCTGCGAGGGGCCAGGCGGAGTCGTCGTAGCCTGGGCGGACCTCGGGGAGGGAGTCGACAGAGGTCCAGTTGAGTGACTTGAGGTCTGGTACGGGGGGCGCGGCATCCGCGAGGGACGGTTTCGCGATCCAGTTGGTTAGGTTGTTCGTTGTGTGGTCTAGTTGCTTGCCATTGACTTCAAGCTTTGTGACTTCGGGTTCGACGCCGATGATCTCCAACTCAGTGGTACGGTTGAAGTCTGCTTGGACCCTGAGAGTGTCACCCTGTATTGAGATCGATCTTATCAAGTACCCGCCATTGATAATGAGCGAGTCTGGGTTCATAATGGACGTTCCATATGCTGATTCGCTTGCACCAGGTTTGTCCGGCACCCAGTAGTTGTATGCCGAATTGCGGTCTTCTTTGTGTTAGTTACAAAGTGGTACGAGCTAGCCGTTGTACTTACCTAAGATGTAAATAACCAGGTTGTCAACCTTGACTACCCGTCGAGTGCTGGATGTCTCCCATGCCAAGAGCAGGGTGTTGTTCACATAATTGTGGTCAACGCTGGTGCCCTCGACGAGGAAAGGCGTCACGGTCGATTTGATCGCAATTTCGTGCGTCTCGCCAGGTCCACTGTAGACGACAAGAACCGTCTGGTTCTTGTACTGTTTCCAAGTAAAAATCTCGACTGTTGAATACAGTAGTGTCGTGTTTCCAACCGGGTAATCCGTGACGACGATCTTGGAATCACGGCGGGTGAGCTGAAGCAGATCGCGGGACTGCGGGATCGTGATGGTTCCTTGCGACGTGGGTAGACGAAGCGTGTAATCGGTGGTAGCGACACTGGAGTAGTTGCTGTGCCGGACAACGAAGAACGACCCGGTACCATTACCTAGCAAAGGCGTGACTGTGATGTCGGGGGTCGCGCTATATACTCCAACGGTCAAGTTTGAGGGCGTTGTGTTCAGGTAGCTAGGTGAAACTTTCAGGAACTGTGCCTCGAGCTTCAGCTCAGAGTACTTTTCCCTCGAAACACTCCTCTCTTCCGTGATTGCCTTGCAAAGTTTTAGTAATTGTGAAACCATGGATCAGAAACTTCTAACTCACGGCGCCATAATCGTAGGACGTGTACCCTCCCGGATGCCCCAGATTGCCCCAATTAGTACCGCCGAATATCTACTTTTGTGTCAGTCTCTGCCTCTCGTTCCCAATTCCTCCCAGTGACTAACCATATAAAGATTATAAATAGTGACGCCAGCCCCAAAGTTGTTTTTGTAGAAAACACGCTCAAACTCGTGATTAAGCAATGCCGCGCACTTTTCGAAACCAGGTCCTGCGTAAGGGTCGAAAGATCCTCCTTGGAACTGTCACGAGTAAGCGCAAGCTCATGTCTCTCTATAGAGACCTGTTAGCCTACCTCTAATATCGAGTATGGCGTGCTCGGGCTCTGTTGCAAATGCAGTGCGTGATAATTGGTCGGTAGCTTGTTATCTGGCCACGTATTCGGGTTTGCCTATCCCTCAGCGGTCAGTTCCATTTGCCAGACCTTTTTTTTCTTTTTCTTTTAGGATGGATTGCAGAATACTACTTACACAGTCAAACCCAAGTGGGTAACCATCATGACCCTGTAGAAAGCCTTAGTCTCAAGTCTCTGCGGTAGCTTCAGAGTGACTTACATAAATGTCAACGGCGCCTACGCCCGTTCCAGGCGCATTGTGACCCGCTGGTCTGGCATCGTTGCTGATGAGGGGCACGACAACCCCAGCTTTGCGAGCCTGGTCGATGACATACTGGAAGTAGGGCCCATCGGGACTGCTGCCGGTATCAAAGTTGGTGTACTCGTTCTCCGGCTGCAGGAGAATGACTGGGCCGCCGTTCGTGATTTGGGCCTTGGCGATGATGCCGCACACCTTTGCCATATAGCTGAGTAAGTTTTCAGCGTCAGCCACTGATTCCACTTATAATGCTCCCAAGGTGTCAAACATCGTTACTTACTTATCCGTCGCGGAAAGGAACTCGGGATCCGAGGTCCTCAGCTTCGCCTTGAGCCTCGCCAACCAACCGGGAAACCCACCACCAGAGACCTCGGCGTTGATGTACGGACCGGGTCTTGCAATGAGGTAGATGCCCGCCTTGGTCGCGGCGTCAAAGAAGGGCTGGAGATCAAACACGCCCTCGGCGGTGAAGTCACCGGCTTTCCCCTCGAGCAGCGCCCAGTCGACGTAGAAGGAGACCGTATTGAGGCCCAGGGCTTTCACCTTCTGGAAGACGTCAAGGTACAGCGACGGCACGGGCAGGCGGAAGGGGTGAATCTCGCCCGAGAAGATCATGACCCGCTCGCCGCGGACGAAGAGCGAGTGCTCGTCCCATGTCACAATGTCCTGGAGCTGGTCTCTTGTGTCGATGACTGCGGGAAGAGGGGAACGAGCTCCGGCGAGGCTGCTGCTGCTCGCGGATACGGCGGAGCAGAGCCCGAGGCCTAGCGAGGCGATGGAGAAGAGAGACGGTCTCATTGTTTCTGACAGGTTACCCGGGGGTGGCGGCTGTCAAAAACGGGGGGGAGGAGGACGACGAGGAGGAGAAAGGACGAGACTAGGACACCCACCCGGGTGTGCCATCCGTTACATGATATAATCGTCAAAGTCACCAACCTCGGACATCTGCAGCCGCGCAAAACCCTGAGAGTCGTCCGGAGACCGATATCCTTCTAGGTGCTCTAGCGTCGTTCGACCCGCGCACATTAATGCGGTAGTCAATACTTTGAGGTGTGCGTAGTAATGGCCCATCGTTCATCTTTTCCCCTCCCCTCCCGAAGCTTCCTCCCCTCCCCTCCATTGCCGGGAAGATGCAGTAGCGGCACTAGAAGAAATGAATGGGCATGTCCGGAAGAACAGGTGTGATTAGCTTCGCATACGAAACGATCATCCGATGCCCGTGGGCTGAGAAAAAGCTTGGTCCGCGATATGCAAGCCATTCTTCTGCAGCCTTGAAAGTACGGGAAAAGAGGTTGGCTGGGTGGTGAGTTGATTAAGCTTCGTCGGCTTAGCCCGCAGGAGCCGTGCGGAGATGCGGGTGGTTGATCGTTGGAGCATGTGGAGGAAGCGGTTCCAACTACCCCCTTCTTGACGTACTCGGATACTTTTACCAGGAATGATCTCGGCCGATTGCGTGCGGAGGCAGATCTGACGGTGAATTGCGACAAAAGGGCGTCTGAACCAGTGTTGATCGTCGCCGGTACCTACTTCATTTTCAATTAACGCGATGCCCGTTTATTGTCCGCAGACCGGAGTTACGATATATCAAGTGCCGAAGACCGGAATATGTTTGATTGTGACTGTCTGGTCGCATTCAAGCTCGTATCCGTTGCTTGTTGGTGATGATCTGGCTGGCGCAATGTAACCTCGCTGCTCATCATGGGCAGTTGGTGCGGGCAAGCCATTGACTAATTAAATGTAATGAAGCCCATATGACGCCATTCAAACAAAAGTCCAATCCGACTCCTCATCGGCGCCGGGGCTCGAATCGACCGTCTGCTCCTCGAAGAAGCCGATTGTTTGCCCGTCCCTCTTCCAGACCTTGCCGTCCTTCATGACAAAGCCAACCTTTCTCAAGGCCCCCTCGTCTTCTCTCGGGTCCGTGTCCAAGGCAATGATATCGGCCCGGTATTCCTTCTCGATGGACCCAAAACGAAACCCGCTCTTCTCCTTGCCGCAGCTTTCCCAGCCTCCCATCAGGCACGCTTCCAGCACATCCACGACAGGAACCCCGGCCCGGATCATGAGTTCCATTTCAAGAGCACCTTCCCCGTGAGGAAACGTTCCGGTATCACCTCCAGCAGCAAGCCGCACGCCGAGATCGTGCGCTCTCTTGGTCTGCTTGGCGATGCTGCTATACTCTGGCAAAGTCTTCATGATCCCGAGCGTCGGGACGAAGATGGTGCCGCGGCGCGCCATCTCTCGAAAGACCTCATCGGTGGCCTCTTGGCAGTGCTCAACAGTATCAACGCCAGCCTTGATAGCCATGAGCGCGCCCTTGGCCGATCCCGCGTGGCACGCCACAGGCAGCTCGCCTAGCTTGGCTTCCTTGACGATTGCGTCCATCTCCTCTTGGTTGAACATAACCACAGTCGGATTGGGCTCCGAGGGAAGAAACGGGATCGGTTCCTTTGCATTCGGAAATCGCATCACCTTTCGCCGATAGTCCGCGTAGAACTTGATGATATCCGCCCCGTCGGCCGCACGGCGCCGGACAGCCTGCGTCACGCCCACCGGACCGTCGCAGGGGTCGGAAATGCGCGGCAGCTTGGCCCACGAGTTCTCGTGACGGACCTCGTAGGACCCGGTGCTGGCGAGACACTCGGTGGCCACGAAGAGACGCGGGCCGGGCAGGAGACCTCGGTTGACGCAGTCTCTCAGATTTGCGTCGAATGAGCGCAGCCCCTCGGTGCCCATGTCTCTGTAGGTGGTGTAACCGGACAAAAGGGCGGCGCGGAGATGATTTGTAGCACGAACGACTCGCTCGACGACACTTTCGTCGCGCATCTGGACCGTCGATGAAGCTTCACTAGGCATCGTTAGATGAGCAAAGGACCCTGTGCCATGTTTGATGAGGCTCACTCGTATGGATGAAGAAACACATGTGTATGGGCGTCGACAAATCCTGGCATCACAACCTTCCCCCGGAGATCTATGTCACGACTTTCCAACTCGACATTGTCGGCTCGTTTCCGTTCATACACATGTGCAATGGCACCGGTCGCTGGATCGACGACAATCGAGATGTTCTTGTCAAAAGCCTTGTTCCTTGGATTGAATAGCAATGATGTATGTACTGTAAATTGTCCATCGAGCAGTCCGCGACTCATTTTTGCGGTGTTGCGAGGACTTCTGACAGTATAAGCGTGTTCTGGATCAGGTAGTGTTTTCGGGTTGCGAGACTCGTGAAATAATATAGCCAAGTCGATAGATAATGCCTACGTAGACGGCAAGATGAAACACCTAGGTGATTGCTGTCTGATGATGTATTAACCTGCGGGCAAGACCCTAAGCTAGCTCTCATAGGCAGCTCAATTATCCCAGACTCCCGTTTGAAATGGGCAAAAGTTCAAGGAGAGGCATAAAAAGGGACTTTGGTAAATAGAACAATCTAGTCCCTAGGTATTTACCGCTGTATGGTTGGTCAATTGGATCGCTGTTTCGAGAGGCGAAGCGCACTTGTATGATTTAAGGTCCAGTACGTGGTTTGACATGCGTGGGCTGGAAGATGGAATGCACTGCTTACATCGTTGCACTATGCAAGTGTCCGTGAACATACGGGGCTTCTGGCGCCGAGAGCCGCGGAAGCAGGACCCGACGTCAGCTGCGGAAGGATTATTGTTCCGCCATCGGTTGCCTCTTACGCTCGGTACTGGAAGGTCTCCAGTCTCCATCGTGGAGTTTGGACCGACAATGTGCCGGGATGTGGGAAGAAGAGGAACCCATGATGAGGGCGCTCGGAAACAGAGCTTCGAATAAAGGGTACCCTAAACTGTAAAAGCTAGGCGAGAGGCACCCATTGGATTCTGAGTTTCCCTCAGACAACTGCTGGCTGAGTGGTTCGTCTGGAGGTTGCCCATTGCTCCCAACAAATGACGCACGGAGGCGCATCAGTTATGAGCCGACAATTTGGTTGATCAGATTTCTCGCTGGCATTCCAAGATGCTTCGGGCGCTGTCTGAATGGCACCTTATTGTCGACATCGTCATCCTGCAGGCTGTACCGTTACAGCAGTCCTGTTGACTGTTGTTGCAGGGGCCCTCGGTGGAGGGCGAAGACCTTCGAGCGCGGAAGTGACGTCGGCCGCCGCGGAAGGCAAATGTTATGGCCCAGTGAGGCGATGCCCGTCGCCTGAGAAATTCTTGACCCCTTCCCCATAGACCCCTCACATATCCAAGGGGGGTTGACCGTGTTGTCGACACTGTAAAGTGTAGGGCACGGCACCAGTGCGACGACGAATGCCGAGTTCTGGAAAAGCTATGGAATCCGGATTCTTGGACGGGGCCGGGGAGAATGACGAATGCTGGGAGGGGCCCGGGGGATGGTGGAGACGTGCTTGGAAGACCCTGAAGAAGAATTGGCCGGGCTAGGCACTCCAGGCTGGCGGAAGCGGAGGTGCTTGGAGCAAAGAGCGACGGGTCGATGCTGAAAATAGAGACAAGATCGGCCCTGAGCAGGCATGTTGCATTGCTGTGGATGGGGACAAGCAGTGGCTTCGATATTGGTGTTTTTGCATGGATCCATCGGTGCCAGCCGGCAACGCATGTGTGTGTTTTTGTATGCCACTATGCGTTCCTTTTCATGATGCTTGGTTTTAAGCATCTCTGAAGGGCTTGACCCAAGGACACATGCCACGAGATTGTCGCTCTTTTCCGTTCTGGGTCATTATCCGTAGACCGACAGAAAGCCTGGTTCCTATCCCGTCGTCATCGTCATCACTGTGTTTGTAGATGCTACTGCACCGGCGACTCCTGGTGTCCTGCATTCTGTTAGGTAGCGGTTTGTTGGTAGTGGTGTAGTCAACAAAGCCGCCTGTCAATAGATGTTCCTGACAATAGACAAACCATGGTTATTTTTGGGATGTTCATTGTCTGCTGATGAAAGAAAAAGCGCGCCATGCAAGATCGGATTGCTGCATTTGAGCGTTTGGGGCTTGCGGCTTGCAGAGAAAAAAGCTTCTGATGGCAAACAGTCGGTGCCAACCGGTGCAAGGAATGCGGCAAAGTCAGCGGTTACAGCGGACTGGGCCAGACTCTGGAGCCATCTGATGGGCTAGAAGGGGCCGTTCAAGCCGTTTTTACCAAGCACTCGGCCGCTAACGAGTGCTGACAGCTGGGGCTGCTTCCTTGGGGGGTATTCCACTGACCTCAGAGGCTCGGCGATATTCTCGGTTGTTGTCGACTCCTCGAGGCGGCGAACAGACAACGGGAAGTGACTGAGCGAAGGGTCGGGAGCAACGAAAAGGAGGCTGAGCCACTTCTGTCCGAATCTCGAGAGGTGAGGGAAGGAAAATAGCAGGTCAACGAAGGGTCTGAGAGTGAAGCCATTTCTCATTCGCCGAGAGCCGATGGGAAAGAGACGTAGCCTGCTCCGTTCTGAATGGCTGCAGCATTTCAGCATTGATCACCGTGTGCCACAATGCCCCGCGTCGAGCCCAGGGTTCAACTGGCCTAGCCAATGAACGATCGTCATCGCACGAGAAGCGGACAAATGTGAGATGGATAACCTGATGTCTTAGGCCGTAAGACCGCCACCACGTTGTCCCTTGCACCAAAATCTGGCAAGCATCCACAGCCACTGCCCCCGGTCGCTACCGGCTCGCTCTCCCACTTCAGTCTCCCTGCGCAACGTTGCTGGCGGGTTTTCTGCTTGGGGTTGCCAGTTGGTTCCCTTTTCTGACGCTTGTTGGCCCCAGGAAGAAGCCAAGAACAGCCACCACACGGGTCACGGACAGTGCGACGGAGGAAAGAAGAAGTGGCCCGGCCCTGCATCCCTTGGTACCTGCACCTGCCCTCAGCGCTCTATCCGTACCTTGCACAGTCCAGCACTGCAAAGCAGTACCTTCCATTCTACTCTGTAAAGTACGAAGTAGCCCACCGCCCACTTGGCAACCGGCACCCGCACCTGCACCTGCCTTTTCACACTGACCACCCTCTCACGCCGCTCCAGCTCGAATACGAGTCTTGTTTTTCTGACCTTCCCGCTCGTTCCACTCCAATGACCACCCCCCTCAAAACCTATCTCAACTCATCCCTCACTTCATAAAATCACTTCACTCGCTTTTCCCTATCGTCACTCTTAGTTCCTTCCTCTCGTTTTTCTCCGAGTGATTCCTGCATCACATTTAACAAAAATCGCCTTTCACCCTTTTAACCTACCGGTCGCTTCCGCCCTCCCACCTTGACCCGGTGCCGCTCTCCTATTTTTGTACCCACCAGGCACGCAAGAACTTTCCGAGAATTCCAGACGAACCGACTCGACTCACCTAAGGACCCTGTGTCTTTGACACCACCATCAAAGAATTCGTTTGTCGCCACGCAAACGATCCATCTTTGACTTATCTGACCGACCAAGAGAATTACTTCCTACAATCGGCCGACTTTGACATATCTATCCTCTGAAGCACCACCAGTATACTGGTAAACTTGTCATTCACCACAGACAAAATGCATCCCACACGCGCCATTCAGGTCCTCGCCCTCGCCTCGGTCGCTCAGGCGTCGTGGTTCAACTTCAACAAAGCCGAACCCCGCGATGGCCTTCTCAAGAGACAATCAGGAACCGCCAGCGGCGCTGAGACCACGTCGACTGCCGCTCAAACCACCACATCTGCTGCTGCCGTCACTACAACAACGACTGCTGCTCCGAGCACCAGCACCACCGTCGCCGTTGTGACTACCACGTCTGCCGCCGCCGCCGACCCGACCACGTCCGCTAATGCGCCTGCGTCAACCACAACACCGGGAGCCACAGCTGCCCCTACAACCCTGAAGACCAGCACCACATCTGCTGGTAGCAACAACGATGAGACCACCAGCGCAAGTGCCGCGTCTTCCACCCACTCAACTACCGCCGAACCCGTTACCTCCACCATCAAGACTATTATCACCACCACCAACTCCGCTGGTGTGGCTACTTCTTTCACCTCCGAGTCTACCGTCACGAGCACCCCCGGCCTTAACGAGGCCAACTCTGGAGATTCGTCATCTGGCATGTCATCCGAGACACGTAAGACTGTCATCGGTGTCGTTGTTGGTGTCGGTGGTGCCATTGTCCTCGGTGCTTTGGGCTTCGTCGCATGGAGAATTTGGGGCAAGAAGAAGCAGGCCGAGGAGAATGATGGCCTCATGGAGTACAACAACCAGTACGGCAACGAGCCCAAGAACGAGGTCGGTAGCGCCCAAGGGTCTGGTTCCGGCCGTACTCCCTTCCAGTCGACTCTCGAAAGCTACCACGCACCGAATGGACAAGTCAATGCATCATCCAACTTCTAAGAAGATGTATGTTGCGACTTTCAATGATTGTTTCTTGCGGCAGAAAGCGTTGATTCCCCGGTCCTTCCCAAACGGATACCACACTCCTTGATTTTCTCTTTTTACTCAATATTTGCGGCTGGCCTTTCCACCAGTCATGTGGAGTTTGGGGCCGCCAGATTACTATGGCAGGCATGGTTGCATATCGCAAGGTCTCCGGACTAATGGATAGAAATATGTACATAGAAGGCAGAAAACTACTCTTCTTTGTCGGCTGGGCTTAGGATGATCACTTCACTGGACTAGCGCGGGCTTCAAACGAGTCGCGCATCAGAACAGGGCATCGACACCAGCAAAGACACACGGCAGAGACCGCAACTAGCAAGTCTGATGGGCAGCCTTCTAGGCCCATAGGCTTGTACGTACGTTAAGATACAACTTTAATATCAGGACTGTCAACTTCCAAACAATTCAAACAATGAAAGGCAATGAAAGAAGCACATACCACATTCAAAATGACGCAAGTGAAGTCTGTTGGCTGAGGAGGCCGGGGTTTGGCTCTTGAGGGAGAAGACTGAGTTCAACCGATTGATTGCAGCCCACCCCTCCCTCTGAACTCTATTCCATTCTATCTTTTCCCGATATGATCAGCCGTCATCCAAGGGGGGCTCAACTGCCATCTGATGAAGTCCATGTCTCCATGCCAGCATGATCGCCCTTCTTCGGTTGCCCGTCCCGTCTGGGCAATATCACGTGGGCGCACCCGTGGCACCAAAGCTAGCCCATCCGTAATATGATTTCCCCGTCTCAGTGGTGTTTCGGGAGTGCTTTGTGGTGGTGTTGCATCCCAGCTTTTTGTGGGCGGGCGGTGGTTGGGATCTCTTTCCCGCGTTTCAGGTTCCCTTTCTTGCTGCAAGGCCCAATACCTATCTTTCCCCCCTCCCGTGCCGTGCATCTGTCGCAGCTGCGGGCGTCTGTTAGGTGTTAATCGGAAAAGCCCAGTCTGGTAAAGTTTAAGGGACGGACGTTTGGTTGTTCCTTTCTTTTTACTCCTCCAACGTCCTTTCGGTGTTACGTACGGTCTTCACATTGAGCGCTGCGCGTCGCCAACCTACAACACTCCTCCTGCGATTCGTTGACGACGCTATATACGATTCGACGAGGTTGAGCCTCGGATTACCATCACAAACGACATATTCCTAATATTTCAATTCGATGCGCTGGTGAAGGACGGAGCTGGGAGAACTTTATCTACGGCACGAAGTAGAGATATCAATTGGGTTACGGCCGCAATCACGGATACCGATACTCGACGAAAGCAACCGACGCGATCGATTAATCAATCGGAGGGAGAACAGATCCGATAATCACATCAAAGACGACGAAAGGACGAGCGGAAAACGGCCAGACCGCAGCCGGCCCCACAAAGATATCATAGAGAAAGCAATGAGGACATCAACACTCTTCAACGCCCTATCGGGGGCCGCCGTGGTGGTGGCGGGCGTGCTGGCGATGGACCTCGGCGACGAGATGCGCATGGGGTGGAAGTATGGCCTGCTGCCGCGGCAGACGGCGCAGAACTTGCAGACTTTTGATGGGAATTTGGGCGGTGTCCAGGCGTCAGCGGTATGTGGATTTGATCTCTGTCTCTCAAGATAATCTGTCTCCCGGCCCCCAACCAATACCCCGAGCAAGAGTCGAGACCCTTCATGGGTGTGAACGTTCTAGCTCGGGGAGGAGTTCGGTGTGGCGTTCAAAGGGTGGCGCTGTTTCAGGAGTAGGATGAGGGAAGAATCGAAGGAAGGAACATTGGTTGCTGACTTTTTGTGGCTTGGGATGCAGATTACCAAGTCAAATGACCCTAGTAGACCGTTCGAGGTTGACGGCGATACTTTTGTGAGTTTCTTCTACATGATATCCGACCTCTACACAGGAGAAGACGGAGAGGAATTGTGTGTGAGTGGCTAGGGGAAGCGTGCTAACGAGTGCTCGTTTGTAGCCCGACTTCAACACCGCCGCGGGCAGATCGTGCGATAACCAGAAGAACAAGTGCTCACAAGCAGCCAATAACGGACCGCAAAAGTTTGAGGTGACGAAGTGCGATGAGCAAGCTGGTGAGTCTAGATGCCTCTCCCATAGTGTTGGAACTTTCCTTTACAATTGATGGGGTTGAGTTGAGAGAAGATTACGATACTAATTCGGACCGGTAGAGCAATGCAAAAACACAATCGACTCGATCACAAAGCAGAGCTTTGGCGATCCCGTGTTTTCGGGCACGGTGGGTGACTTTGACATCTTTTGTGATCCTTGAGAGATCTGTCTGAGTTGGGTGGTGGAGTGAGATGTCTGTTGTCAGCGGCGGCGGCGGCGGTGGTGATGTAAGCGTTGCTGTGTAGGAGCTCTGTGAAAGGAGTTACCTACGACTTGTGTATATTGAGAGATGACGGAAAATGATTGATGGGTCGAGGGCCGTAAGCCAAAGTGTTTGGCAGAGGTGTTGAGGGGGGACTTGTGAGCTGTACATGTTAAAGCTTGGTTTGGTGTTATAGGCTCCTCGAAGTAGAGATCGAGGTTTGATGTCCGGCGGGCTTCACGCTTGGCTGTTGATGAGGCTGTGATTATTATTCTCCTTATTCCATGACTAATAAATCATGATGAAATTCAATGGTGATGAACTCCTTCGATGATGTTGAGAAGTGGCATTGTAGGATTGTTTGTAGTGTGATGTGGTTGTGTTTTCTCGGAATGCCTTCACTTGTGACTACAAACGACATCTCAGAAAGAACAGGTCTCCATCCTAGTAGTCGCCAGCCGTACCCGCATTTCATACTGCTTGGGTAAGGTACTAGACTTTCCTTGGACAAAAACATAGACCCAGGACAGAGTTATATCTTTCTTGGCCATCTGAACTTTTGCCTGAGCCAAGTCTTTCCGCCCGACTTTCGCAAGCGTGGACAACACATCCGAAAAAAAAGAAAAAGAAAAAAAAAAGATAATTTTTTCCCCCCATGAATCGAACTAATGTGTATTGTCCTTTCGTAGCAATGTCGACATAAAACCGAACCTCTTGATAAGGAATTCCACCAACTGGGGTCCAGACTCGACGGGGGACTCTCGAAATAAACCCACGGGCACTAAAGATCCGTTTGCTAATTAAACACGTCCCCCAGGTTCAACGCTGTTCCCGGGGAATTTCCAACCTGCCTTTGTTTTTGCCCCGAGCTTTTCGCGTTTTGTGGCTCAAAAGAGTAAGACAATGTATGTCTTGGGAAAACCACAATCCACAAATCGAAAATGCCATTTGTCGTCCCTGACTGGGGCGCGGGGCGAATGGAAAAGTTGAGGCATTGTTACCTTAGACTATGCAGACGACCAAACTGGTAGGACTTTGCCTGCCACCTGATGAGATGCAGAAGGTGTCCTCACGGATAGCTAGGAGGAAGGGATGGAACCGGTATCGAGGATGAGACGAGACGAATCGACGACACTCGGCTCTGATGATTGTCTGGAAATTCGGTACCTGCATATTTTTCAAGTTTAGACCGAAACTGCAGTAGTGTCGTCGAAGAAAACGTGCGTCCAAGGGGGATAGCACCAGCAATTTGACAAGTTGGGGCTCCCGTCATGCAGGTTTTCGAGCTGTCGAGTGGGTGGACGCTACTACATGGCAGGATGTAAAATAATAAGGCTTGTTATATCTTCCATGACTATTCCAGAAGTCTCCACGATATGAGGAGTGACGAAAAGACATGTTTGTTCCTTTGGCTCAAAACTTTGAGGTCGCGATATTGGTGGCATGGCGTTCTTAAAAGCAATAGACATGCCAGCACCAACTTTGATACCGGATTCAAACACCTGTAAACAAACGCAGCGTCTTCCTCTGATTTCACGAACCCATCTTCCAGAGCAGGCGGACACAAACTAGAAGCAATCTGAGCACGAGCGTCACGAGCCGGACATTCAAGCCATTGGTAAATACGACGTCGTCTAGGAATCCAAGCGGCGGGGCCTCTCATCCGGCGGGAAATCACCCATAGCTCCAGATGCGATGCAGCAGTAGGGGAGACGATGTCCGGGGGGGCATTTCAGTAGTGTAATGATAAGAGAGTACGTTGACACTTGCCTGCGTCTTCGTCACACCAAAGGTACCGTGATATCAACCAAACAAGGCGAGATTGGGCTGGTCATAGCTCGGCCCCGTGGTTTTTGGCGGCGGGGACTCTCATTAAAACAAAGCTGGGCCGCTGAGTGGCCATCGTCGTCTCTCGCCCGTGGTGTGTGGGAATCGTGGATTCGTGGATTGGACAGCCTGTCCCTGGCGACTCGCGCTCCCCCGGTCCATCCTATTGGAAAGCGGGCAGGGGGATACCCCCATCTCATCCAAGCTTGTCACTCGTGTCTGGCCCCGTTTTCCCAATGACATTCGTTCATGTGCCACTGCTCTCTCGCAAGTTAGGTTGGCTGGAAAAGAAGGGCCCCGAAGTATCGACCTGGAAGCAGAGAGAGGGTCAGAGGCAGAAAAGTGCCAGCTGTCTTTCGTGGAGTTGTAGCCCCAGTTTGAAGCCGTCCAATCTCATCGTGCCACTGGTGCCGGGCCACCGAACCTAGGCTCCACGACACTCGAACCCCGTAGCTTGAGGGATTCTAGGCGGAGGTATCCCTTCCTTTTCCTTTCGTCGAGGCTCCACGAATTCGTGCCGGTGCAGATGAGCTATCCTGTCGTGGTTGTCACTGCATTGGACGACTGGCAGACCTGACGGTTTTTGTTCAACAAAGGTGTACGGATACATAAAACTTTCAGGTAACTGAACCAAGAACAGTCTGCCAAGGTGCCTGTATATATACTCAGCAGGGTACCAAGGTACCTTACTAAGTAAGGTAATGTACCTTAGGTAGGTAAGTAAGGTAGCGAGACTAAGGCAGTCTGAGTGAGCTGTCCTCGGCTGGCCGTCGTGCCTTAGCTCTGCTGTACCTGCTCCTTCCCGTGCGCGTACCTGTACCTTGCCATTCCTGTCAAATCCCCGTTCCCAGTCTTGTGCATGTACGTAGTATGTACGGATACATCAAGTCCCTTTATTTTCCATCGCCTTCCTACCTTATGAACCATTAGTAGTGTACAATCAAGTCATGAACACCTAACCGGCCGGCACCATCTCCAACGATAACTTACTTGTAGGTCGGGAAGGGGAACTAGGCAAGAATTGTTACCTTAGCCTCCCATGTGTCCTTCCAGGTTGCCTTTTACCTCGCCGTCTTGTCCAGTCCTCACTGACTTTCCACCTTGCTCCTGATACATCACGTACCTACCGACATCTCTATCCCCCCTCTACTCGTCCTCTCAGTCTCTCCACCAAAGCCGACGGCATCCTGCCATATCGACGGAATCGCCATCATACGTGTAGCTCGACCTGTGATCCGATGCGTCCGGTAACCGCATGCTGCCTCTGCCTGCCTTCTTTCCTCATGTCGCTCCTTAGTCAATAATTTCCCTCTCCCAGTTCCTTTCTGCAACGGGCCCTCGTCCCTCTAATCCCTGCACCAGACCACCATCTGCAAAATAATACCTTATTTCTGCTGGCTATCCTTTTTTTTTTTCTCTCTCTTGACTAGGTCCCCTTCCCTGCCCGCCTAACAAAAAAAATACCTGGGCTACCTCACTTACGGATACGCGTCGCGACCAGAAAAACCACCCGTCGGCCCCAAATATACACACATCCATCCCCAATCACACGGGCCGCCTCTCCTCCACCCCCTTATTCCTGTCAACAACCTCGACAGCGCCCGTCCGTTCCCTTCGTTTTTTTCTCGCGGCCTGCTTCGTTGTGTGTGCATGCCGATTTTTGAGGGCTGTTGAATAAAGGGTCCTCGACGCGAATACACAGAGACTTGGCTGCAGACGATTCCCATCGTTTGCGCTGATCTCACCGTGGTAAGTCACAGCTCACCGCATCCTCACCTGACTACATTCCCGGCGTGCTACGGATACCTTGAACGTCTACCCAATACGCCACGTCTTCCCTTGGACCCATTCCTAATTGAAACAGAGTCCCACGAAGACGTCTTCTTCCCAGCAATCCGCATCTCCTCCTGCTGCATCCGCACAGGACGGCACAGGACCTCATCGTCCATCCTACAATTCTCCGCCAACGTCTCCCGCCCTCTCATCGACGTCCACAGCTGCCGACGGCGAGGACCTTGGGTCCTCCCCAATTTTGCCTTCGCTACCTGCGCCCAGACTCCCCGACCGAGCTCGGGAAATTCTGAGAAGTCAAAACCAGTCCAATCCGGAAGAAGAGGAGAGATACGTGACAGCTAGCTGGGGCTCGCCCTACTCAACTGAAGAGACAAACCTCATTCGCCGCGAGAGCATCGGCAGCGATCAATCCGAAGGCTCGCCCATCCATCACATTGCTATCAGCACTCCCTTTCTTCGACCTCCACCAGCGCTCTCGCTCGGACAGGACGAATCGCACGAGCCCTATCTCAGCGCTGCTCAAGTTCTAGCCAATCGCGCTCGGAGACCTGCGCGACGATTGACTGAAGATTGGATTCGCCAACACACGGCGGGGGATCATACTGAGAGTCGACATTGGTTCAGCGACGGAAGCGAGCACTCTTCACTGAGCGGCTCAGGATCTGGCGACGAAGCTGTTTGGCACGATAAGGAATCTCTGCGAACCCCGAGAGCCCGACCACGCTTAACGCGCGCATCGCTCACGGAACCTCGCTATCCTCGAACCCGATCCAGCGTCGAGACGCTCAAGCAAGAAGACGTGAAGCCTCGAGACGAGACTACAAACACGAAAATGGAGAGCCCCGATCTTTCAAAGGCCGACTTGGCCCGCGACCTGCCAGACCTCCCACCTATCCCCACAACGCCCAGACGAAGCGCGAGTGCCGCTGTTGGCAATATTGCGAGGACGCCAACCACACCGATGAGGAGTGCATCTGCAAGAGTGACGATCAAAGAACCCAGCATGACGCCTCGGGTGAAGAAGAAGATCCCGTGGAAGGGCAAGAATATTATGGTTCTTCTTCCCAAAGACGAGGAACGCGGACGCCAGGGCCATGCGCCCAAGCCATTGAACCAAAACGAAATCGAGGGCATGTTTAGATCGTGGGAGGAGCTTGGATACGACATCAGTGGCTTCGATTTGGATCTCGCAGAAGGCACGTACCAGGCCCCCACTGGATACTCCCAGAGTCGAGACGCCTGGCCTAGCCCCGAGGACCTTGTTCGAGAGCGTGCGCAACATACATACAAGGTCACATTGCCTGATTTGAATGGTAAGCCTGTGTTGAATGGACTGAAAGCAATAGGAATGCTAACTGTCGAATAGCTTGGAGAGACTACGTCAATGAGCTTAACGAAGCCAAGTTGCGAGCTCTTGGAGTGTCATTTGGCGACGACGACCCCCCTGCGCCTTCAATATCGCCTGCAGTATCACAGCCCAGCCGACAGGCCTCTGCGCAATATCCGCCTTTGCCATTCTCTCCGCCATTGCCTACATCGTCAGCATCGAGCAATCATGTGCAAGGCTACCCGTTTCCGCCTCAGTTCATACCCGGTGGACGTTCTTCTGCAGGCCACAGCCACAGCCCAAGCATGGCTTCTCCCATTGGCTTTGGAAGTCACCCTGCAAAGTACAATAATCGACAGTCGATTTCGGTTCCCATGGGCCACTCGCCTTTCCAGATGCCTGGTCAACCATCGCCCCTAGGCTGGCCCGGTCCGCACAGAACAGATTCGCCTGGGCTACTGAACGGGATCCTTTCTCCCGTCTCACCCTTCATGCCCGAAGGGTTTGCACCGACTGGCAGCCCTGCTTTCAATGCGCATCAACGTCACCAATCTTTGCAATACCCCATGATGCCCCATCAGTTCATGCAGCAGCAACAGCAACCTGCGCGCGCATCACCACGTCTGCAAGAGGTGCGAGAAGACGAAGAAGAAGAGGAGGAGGCACAAGAAGAGCTGTCTATCAAGCCCGTGGAGCCCGCACAAGTCAACGACGATGATCTCCAGGCAGAAATTGACGAGGCCGAGTACCACCTGGAGGAGCAGATGCGTAATGAGTTGGAGCACGAGGACTACAGCCCCCACAATGAGGAAGCCGCGGCGGAGCAACTGGCCAACTTCTCTCAACAGCAGCCTCTTGCACATGCCAGAGAGGCATCGGTTCAGTTCCAGGCACCCCAGCAGCTTCCTAAGCAGTTCGGTCCTCAAGGCGGCGATGGTCCTGTCCTTCACCACCCGCGCCCTCACAGCCGTGGCCACTCTTTGTCGCAAAACTTCTTCTCTCACCATGACGAGACCCGGCCTCGCGGCGACAGTTTGGCCGGGTGGCACGAGGTTGACGCACAGCGGATCGAAGAGGCCGCGGAGATCGAGACCAACCCAAGCAATCTCGGTACACCCGTGCAAGATTTCAGCCTCACGACGCTCTTGCAGCAGCACCAGCGATCGTTCTCCACAACAAGCAATCCTTGGAACGATGCTTCATCAATGTCAAGCAACTCTGGCATGCCGAGAAGACCCAGCCATGCCAGCAAGCCTTCGCTCTCTAAGCTCAACGTCAAGGCGCCCGAGTTCAAGTTTAACCCAGGTCACGAGTCCAAGACGAGCTTCACTTTCGGTGCCGGTAGCAACAGTATTCAGCCCTCGGTCTTCCAGGCCGGCGGTGGATCATTCGCCCCGTCAGTCACTTCTCCGTCAGCAGGCTCGTTTGGCGCAGGGTCCATGTCATCCAAGATTAATGCCGCTGCCCCTGTCTTCTCGCCTGGTCAGAGCGACTTTAGCTTTTCTGCCTCTGGTCCCAAGTTTCGACCGGATGCACCCGCCTTCACACCCTTTGGCAATGTTTCGGATTCCGTCACTAGCCCCGTGTCGGGCAGCGAGAGCGCTGGGAACCGAACTAGCTCGATTTTCGGCAACATTGATCTGAACCTTTCTGACATTGTCAAGCCTCCCAAGAAGTCAAAGGCCGTCCCAATTATCGCTCCCAGCCTCAGTGATAACAATCAGGATGAGTCTCAAGACGACCTTCCGGACGATGCAGATGGTCGCTTGATTGATGAATCTCGCTACAAGAGAGCAAAGGCGTCCAGAGGAGACGAGGATGATGTTCCTCTTTTCGCTGAGCCATCGCCTGAACCCACAACGTTGCAGTCACTCCAGCCAAGGAAAGAGGAGCAGGATGCCTCTGACGAGCAAGCTTACACGCCCGCCGATACTACGATGTCTTCCACCGTTGCTTCAGAGCACCCTGCCGACTCCAAGGCCGTTACAGCTACTAGCCCTTCGGATACTTCGCCTGACCAGCAGCACCACAACTGGGCACCCTTCGAATTCGACTCGAACAACGATGTCCAGAGCTTTGCCGAAGCCCGACCTTTCGGTATCGACTCGTACAAGAAGGGCCACAACAAGTCCCTTTCTGCCACTGCCAGAGCATTCATCCCTGGCGGCGGCTGGGCGCCTACTCCGGCAACTGAAACCGACGAGGACGAAGAGGATGAGCGCGACAGAGAAGACACCGTTGAGCCAATCCTGCCAAGCACCGAGGCGCCTGCCCCGGTCTCGCCACCTCGCGAGCCATCTACCAAGTTCGCCGCACCCAAGGGACTGGGCGCTTCTCGTTTCGCAAGCCCGCCTAAGACTAAGGGTCTTTCTGCGTCTCGCTTTGCAGCCTCTCCATCGCCTGCGCGCAACGCCGGAGAAGAAGACTACGAAGACTCCCTGGAAGAGGGAGAGATCCCCGAGGACTATGTTGTTTCTGAGGGAGAAGAGTATCTCGATGAGCCCAACGCCCACGAGTTCACATTCCCGGCACAGTCGGCAATTGATGCCAGTAACGAGCTTCATGAGCCAACTTTTGAGGAGATTGATGATATCATGAACCACCTCAACCAGAATGACCCGACATTTGGTGTCAACAAGGCCAACGACGAGGCCGCCAGATGGCACCAGCCCAGCCCCAACAGACAGATCCAGGTCGCAGGCGTCACCAATTTGTCGCCCTATAAGATGCAGGCCGGCAGCCAATATCGCAGCAGAACCTCCAGTCCAGTGCGCCAATACCACGGCCTTCCCGCCGACAACTCGGCAATGCCGACGACGGAGTTGGAGGATCCTTTCGTCGATCCTCCATTGAGTGCACAGTCATTCGACGCTCCGATTACCCACCTGGTTGGCCAAGAGAGTGCTGCGCAGAGCGACTGGGAAGGCGCCTTCAGCGACGAAGAGCAAGCCAAGCTGGAGCAGCGCGTCCAGTTCTTCGACGGTCGTGTCAACGAAGCCGTCGGCGATCTGCTCTCCGCTCGCTTGGGTCCCCTGGAGAAGACCCTGCTGTCCATCAAGCAGTCCCTCCGCGGCGACAGAAGAGCTTCATCTTCCGTCCGTCGCAGCGTCTCCGCCGAGATTCAACACAGCGACGCTGACGACGAAGATGAGGAGCCTGTGCCTCGTCGCTCGCTTAGTCCGCGCCGCGACAAGCGCATGGAACAGATCCGTGCCGCTGTACTCGATGCTTTCGCTGTCCAGCAGCGCGGCGCCGCTCCCGCGCCTCAACTTTTCGCACCTGCCGCCGATGAGCCTTCCAGCACTGCTGTTCTCAAGGCCCTGGAGGAGATGAGGGAGCAGTTCGGCGCTTCTATGCGCCTTGACTTCCGTGGCGAGGATCTGCGAAACATTGTGGAGGAAGCTGTTGAGAAGCGCATGCCAACACCGTCCCAGCAGCCAACCGCTGATCGTGATCATGACGAGGCCGTTAACAACAAGTTGAGTGAGCTCCAGGCCAAGGTCATGGACCTTGAGGAGCGTCTCTATGTCGAGCGTAGCAAGACTGAGAAGGAGGTCACCGATCGCCGCGCCGCTGAGGATCTCGCGGCAGAGCTCGACAGAAAACTCCAGGCCGCCGAAACTCGCGTTGAAGTCGAGATTATGAACAAGAGCATTTTCGACCATCGCGTTAGCGACCTGGAGGATAAGCTCCGACACCAGGAAGAGCGCACCCAAGCCGAGCTTGACGGTCGCAGAACAGCCGAAGATAGACTCTCGGAGGTTCAGCGTCTGCTCCGTATTGCTAGCGAAGAGGAGGTCCGCCTTCGTGAGGATGTTGAGGAGCGAGACCACAAGCTCAAGGCCTTTGAACAGGCCGCTTCCAAGCAGACGATGCGCATGGCACTCATGGAAGCCTCGCAGACGAATGCTACCCAGGCACAGACTGAACTCACCAACAAGATCAACGCCATGGAGGACGAGGTCCGAGGTGCCACCCACGAGGCTAACCGCTGGAGATCCGAGACGGAGCGCGTGGTTGAGACTGCCCGCAGACAGCAGATCGACCTCACCGAAACACTACAGGAGAACAAGGCTATGCAGAAGTTCATCGACACCCTTGGAACTCAGCTTCAGGAGAACGAGCGCGTCAGAGAAAGCTGGCGTGCCAAGTTTGTCTCTCTCCAAGAAGACATGGCCAAGGCTGCCCGCGACATCACTGAGGAGAATGCACGTCGCACCAAGCGGGAGCAGCAACTCGTCGCTCGTCAAGAGGTCTTGGATGCTAAGCTCCAAGCCGAGGCCCGTACGCGCGAACGAATTGAAGCCGAGATGGAGAGATTGGAGAATGGCGAACGCCAAGGCATGCGCGCCGTCAGCGAGTGCAAGCGCCTCGAGGGCCTGCTTGGCGAGATGAAGACCGAGAACCACAAGCTTCACCAGTCTGCCATGCGCTACCAGAGCGAATTCAAGGAAGCGAGAGAATCTGGCATTGCCGAGGTCCAGCGAACGCGCGTTTCTATGCAGCGCGAGATTGATGAAGCCAACCACCACGTCAATGCTGTTCGCGAAGAACTCGAGGAGCAGGTCGCTAAGCTCAGGGCCGAAGTGGACCAGGCCAACATGGACGTCGAGACTGCCAAGGCTCAGTCTGAGATGATGATGGAGGAGGCTCAGACCAGCAAGACTGATGCCATTGAAGAACTCAAGCGCAAGCACCAGAATGAGCTCGAGGACTTCCAGACCCGTTGGGAGCGCCAGCTGAGCAACGCCGTCGAAGATGGCCAGAAGACCGAGCAGCACCTCCTCGAGCGTCTCAGTCTGTCAACGTCCAAGACCGAACACCTCCAAGATCGTGTCGCACATCTGGAGGAGAAGCTCGAAGTTGCCAAGGAAGCTGCTCGTGCTGCCGCTCAAGCTGCCAGGTCTGCAGGTGTCGAACCAACCATTGTGCCCAATGCATCATTCCAACCCAAGGCTGCGGCACCTGCCGCACCCGTCGTGTCTAAGGCTGTGGACCTCCCAGAGAAGATCTCGCCCCAGGCGTTGCGGGAGTCCATCATGGTCTTGCAAGAGCAGTTGCAGGCACGCGAGCAGCGCATCGAAGAGCTCGAGTCTACTGTCGACAAGCTGGATCCCGAAGCCCCTACCAAGATTGCCAAGCGTGACGATGAGATCACTTGGTTGCGCGAGCTTCTTGCCGTGAGACATGGTGATTTGCAGGACATCATCCTTGCTGTCTCTGCTGAAGACTTTGACAGAGAAGCTGTCAAGGATGCGTCCATCCGCCTCAAGGCCAATCTCCAGATGGAGGAACAGGAACGCGAGCGTGCGATGAATGGCGGATCAGCAATCAATCTGCCCAACATTGCACAGTCGCTTCGGGATGCTGCATCGCCTCGTGTTGCTCAAGCCGTAGGCCCCCTGGCAGCAGCCTGGGGTAACTGGCGCAAATCGCAACAACCCATTTTCGCGTCAGGCGGACGAAGCGGCAGGCCCTCGACGGCCCGTCCTGCTGTCAACAGCAACCATACCCCGTCCCGATCTACCGCATCGGCTTCGTTTAGCAACAATCACAACGGACTGATGACTCCGCCGGCTTCTGGCCTCCGCCAGACCCCTCCTTCGAACGCTTCGCACGCGGAGGAACCTCAACCAACCGCGTTCCAGACCACCGGACGTCGGTACACAGCCCAGCAACTGCAGGCCAGGAATCGAGGACCGTCCATCACGGAAGTGCCATCCGAGCCGATGCCCCTCAAGAGTCCGCCCGCCCGCCGTCCTTCAAGCCGTTCCCAACAGCCCATGACGCCGCCGATGATGCGCTCAAGCGCCTACGACTCGGATGCTCACCCGGGCGACTTTGACGACACTGACTTCTTTGAAGACTAAGAAGAAGCAGTAATGAGTGGAAGGAAGTGTGGGAGCGTGTAGGATTTCCTTTGTCTTTCGCACCGCAGTCAATCTTTCTCTCTCTCTGTCTCTCACGCAGCATGCTTTTGAGCCCAAAAGAGTGGACACACTAGAATGATGATACCCCTTTTTCGCAAGACTACTACTTACTAAAAATACAACCCACTGAGGGTATTGGAGGAGGAATTTTCATATACAAAACACAACTCAGATGGTGGATTTTACTCCCTTGTCATCACACCCCCCTCGGGGGTTTGAGGATGAGAGGGCTAAATTTTAATTTCCTTTGTTTTTCTTGTTTTAAGGTCCGATGCATAGCGGGAAAGAAAATGACGATGAAATGGAAGGGGGGGTTTGAGAGGGAGGGGATGTTGCTTGCTGCTCTATGGCTTGCTTTTCTCCCTGTACCGGGCTGGGGTTATATTCCTGCGGCCCGCTCCTTGCTCTTACTACCTATTACACTACACCCAAGACAGTATATAGTAATAATTCGCAATGCCTGATTTGGCTTACCACTTGACTTTTGACTGTTTACTTTCTTTGGGCTGGTATTCATTGATTATGATTTCCTAATGGGACTCGTTTGAAAAGGCTTTTCTTGCATGGCGAATGTTGATGGTTTGTAAGAGGAACTATGGCAGACCACATCGAGGCTTTGATTCAAAGAAAGTTGGATTGTTGGGGGTGGTATCGTTGGTTCTCGCCACGGAACCCCCCGTTAAACTTGATTTCATTTCATCTCATTTCGTATTAAAAAAAAGGGTGATTTATAACAGATTTCACCCAAGAAGAAGCAACCACGTCTCCTATTTACCCTACCCCCTTTCCTCATCCTCTCTCTCTCTTCCATCTATGAGATGAAAAAAAAGAGAAAAAACAGGCTCCTCAACTCTAAGAACTGCTGAGGAGCTTCTCGACAGCCCACTTGACAGAAAAGTTGCGCAGGTCAGAGTAATGCTGGCCGACGCCGACAAAGAGCACGGGCACATTTGTGGCGTGTACGAGACTGACGAGGGTGCCAACCATGTTGCCGACGGTGTCGCATTTGGAAATGATGAAGCCGTCGAGGGTGCGGACAGAACCAAAGGCCGCGTTGAAGTTGCGGGCCTGGGCTACTGAGTCTGTGCCGACGAGGGCCTTTGGAGAGGGTTAGTTTTTGTTTCGTTACAAATGTGAATGGCGAGAAGGGGGAAAGCAGGGGAGGGGTCTTACTTCGCCAACCATGAGAATCTTGTCAGGCTGCGCAAACTTGGCAAACTTCTCCAGGGAGGACATGAGACGCTGGTCGTTATGTCTGCGTCCAGCGGTGTCAATGAGGACGACGTCGAAGCCGTCCTGCGCGGCGTGAGCCACGGCGTCGCGGGCGACGGTGGCAGCGTCCTTGCCATAGCCCTTTTGATACAGCTCGACGCGGCCGCCCTCACGAACTGTGAGCTCCTTGAGGTTGCGGACGTGCACGGCGAGCTGCTCGACGGCGCCGGAACGGAAGGTGTCGCCGGCAGCGATGAGGACCTTGTACTTGTTCTGCAGGAGGAAGAAGCAAATCTTGGACAGGTTGGTGGACTTGCCGACGCCGTTGACGCCGACGATGGAGATGACGTAGGGGCGGGCCTTGCGGAGGGAGGTCGCGGGCGGGGCGGTAATGGCGTCAATCTCGCGGAGGAGGTCGAGCGAGGATGTTGGGGTGAGCATCTTTGTGAGGGAGGCTTCCATGGCGGCTTGGATCTTTGCGTTGATGCTTTCGAAGCTGGCCGTCTTGGCGCCCAGGAGCTCCTTTTCGACGCCCTCGCAGAGCCGTACCGCGGCTTCGCGCGCGACGTTCTTCTTGAGGAGGTGCTCCTCCATGCCCTTCATCGCTTTGTCGAGGTCCTGCTTTGAGAGCGTCTTGCCGCCGACGACATTGCGGAAGAGGCCTCCAATCGTGCTCAGACCAGACCCGATTAGTCCGCCTGAGGCTTCCGTCTTGTTGGAGGAGTCGTTCTTGGCCTGCGCCGAGGCGAGGATGTTGTGTACCTCGTCGTCCAGGTCCTTCAGCACGAATTGGCCCTTTGACGTTTTAGACCCCCATGTCGTGTGATCGACGTGCTCGACGGCGGAGGAGCGGGCGGTTGTCTCGGCTTCCGAGTCGCTCGTCGCCGACTTCGGAGCAGCCGAGTAGTCGAGTACCACGTCGTCCTCCTCGTCCGCCATACCGTCTGCGTCCCATTTGCGGCCCTTCTTCGTGGATGATCTCGTCGCGGGCTTGGGCCTTCTGCCGGCGGACTCATCGCCAGAAGAAAGGGGCGCAGAGTTGCCCGCCTTGCGCGCGCGCCGCGACATCTTGGCGACGGGACCGGCCTTGCCTACCAACACGCCGCCGGTTCCGGGAGTCGAGGGTCGAGAGGTCGTGGGCGTCGCGATGGGGGTCGAATCATTCGAAGTTTCGTTTGCGCTGTTCAGACCGCGACCTGGGAGAGTGTTTGTTAGCTGCCTGCACACGATTTCACCTGTACAGCGCATTCGACCTACCCCTATAGTGAAGACCCGGAGGAAGAGGAGGATCATCGCCGAGGTTTCCAGACAGCGTATTCTCCTCCTTTGCGAAGTCGGCTTCTGAGACGTTGGAGTCGCCCTTTGATCCCGTGGTTTCCAGCTCTCTGACCTGCTGGTCAAAGTACTCGTCAAACTTGTGGCATTCGACCACTGTCGTGTGCGGCTTCGTCAACTGTTCTCCGTACAAGTCCACGAAGATGGTCTTGATGTTGTCGACAAGCTTGTCAATCCATGACAGGTGAAGTAGTGATCTGTAAACGGCCTGCTCGCACACCTCGTCAGTACCATGGCTATGCGGTGCGCGGCGCATTGGCTGCTGCTGGATTCCCATACCACAAAGATGACACCTAGCTCCTTGACAAACGTATACCGTAGTGTGTGCTGGTCGCGCTTGTATGGGGGGTTGCTGGCGGCGGACTGGCTGGAGGCAGCGCCGCCCTTTTCCTCGATGAAGACATCGGCAATGAAGTTGTTGATGACGGACGGGTTGACCGGCGCATAGGTTCTGGACCAGAGGACGACCCCAGAAGTGGTCAGGATCTCGAACGTGTCCAACATTGTGTACGCGATTTCGGTTTCGTGTTTTACGGCGACACAAAGATCGTGGAGCTCGGGGGATGGGCGGAAGAGGAGAGAGAAGGAGACTTGAGTTGGAGGCGACTTCCTCGATCCCAAAAGCTGGCCTGTGGCGCAAGACCCATGGTCAACGAAGTGGGCTGGACGCTCCTTTGGGGGGCAGGTGGGTGAACCCTTGGATCTGGGGCCCCTATCGATAAGCTCCGGAGACGCGGACTTTTTGTACGGTACCCGCACTGTTAATGCTTCTCACTAGTCACCGAAAATGTACAGTGCGGAGTGAAAAGCGCAGCTTACGTCTATGATTGAGATGCTTTCTTGAATCTTGGTTGCTGCTAGTATTCCACTTTCAAACTAAAAGCCTAGAGGTCGCCCTTAATATGACGATAACTATGATATCTATACGGGCTTAGTTTAATATTTAGCTTGATAAGTCTGACAAGCTATGCTCATTATATGTTAATAATAGCCTCTCTATCATGTAAATATGATATTTATGACTTAAGCCGGCGGTAGCTTTTTTTTAAAGTACGGATTATCACTCCTTATAAACAGAAGCGTAGGCGCCCCAGCCAGAAGTCTGTCGTGTAACAGGTAAGCAAGTCTGACCGGAAGATTTCCTTGACTGCGACTGAAAAGTCGCTAGCGAAGGGAAGAACCAAACGCATCGTCACTACGATACCCACGATCAGTAGACATCCCATATGTTTCTCACTCTTGACCGTCCGCCTCTGGCATATGGCTGGGGCAGAAAGCCAGGCGGCGCGACTTCAAGAGCCTGATCACATCTCTTTGAATTAGCTACATATCCAGCTTTCGGATACACGCACCACTCTCAAAGTGGGCGAATCCAGTAACCACAGACACTGAGCACGGAATAAAGAAGAACGATAACAAAATTTCCTCAATAAGCACTCGCTATATGTCCTAGACCAGAATGTTTTCATAACTAGGGCTGCCCTCGTGTGGCTCATGGGTGACCCTGATATGAGGGTGTGTCTTTATCCGCCGGTTACTGCTCACGCAATGCAGCGGGGAAGAGAAACGAAGCAAGCTCCGAAGACAAGCAAGCCATCCTACCGTGTCTACTTAGCTGTTTTCTGGCCTTATATCCCTTTAAGTAGATCCGTCTTGTATTTGATAGTTCGGCTTCTGCTTTCTGGGACGTGCTCCTCCGTATCACGAATCAGAAGACGCGCCCTACGTTCCTTACTGCTGTCCTTATCGCCGCAATTGCCGCTATTTTGGTCATCGAGATATCTACCTGTGATTTCCCAAGAGACTGCACTTCGAGGAACCTAAGAAGAATTTGATGAAAGAGGTGGTGGTGATGAGAAAGGGGAGTTGTCGAGCTTTACCGTCACATGGGTTGCTGATAAGCCAACAGGCAGTTGTCTGCCGGCTGGTGCCAGCCCTTCAAGCGGCTTAAAAAGGCCCGCGAAAGGGCTCGTGCTGGACTGGCCAAGGACAAGCTTTGAGCTAAACCTAATTTGGCGGTCGCTACCTGCCCTGGACAGCGTGGGACATTGATGGAAGTAAACACCTTTCCGTACCAGCTCCATCGCGGCCCGCCAAAGACGACGTGGACTCAGAGAACCTGGAAGGGAGGCATCCCAACACCCACGCCGCCGTCGAATCCAACATAGCTTCCCAATCTTTCGACAAACCCATCGAACGATTCTCACGAACACGATAAAAAACCACGAGCTTATTTACACATCATGCAGCGTCCACAAACCTACGGGCAGTCGCCCCCCTTGCACCACCCCGTACCCCAGCATGTCTCGACGGTTCCCCAGTTGCGCTCGCCCCCTCCTCCCGTGTCGCAATCGCAATCACAACAAGGCTACGGTGGCAGTCCTTACCAACAGCAAGGCGGTACGAGCGGGAACGTATTCGGCGCATACGGACAGTTCATGAACGATCCCACAGCACAAGTGGCGGCCCAGTTTGGCCAGACGGCCTTCAAACATGGCCAGGAGTACATGGAGCAAAACGTACGTCAAGTCTAGGGACGGGGAGGCAGACCCCGAAGCAACTCGTCGGTCAAACGTCGAGTTTCATCATATTTTTGCTGAAGCTAATTCTCTTAAAGTTCAACCGATATGTCAACGTCAACGCCTTGAAGCACTACTTCAACGTTTCCAACTCCTACGTCATCAACAAGATAGTCCTCGTCCTCTTCCCTTGGAGGCACAAGCCATGGTCGCGCAAGCAGGCCGTCGGGCCTAGCGGACAGGACGGATGGTACCTCCCTCCGCGAGACGATATCAACAGCCCCGATATGTACATACCCGTCATGGCTGTCGTGACCTACATCCTTCTCTCTACGCTCCTTGCTGGTCTCCGCGGCCAATTCCAGCCCGAACTTCTCGGATACACGGCGTCGACAGCCTTAGTAATAGTCATGGCGGAGATTCTCGGTCTCAAGCTGGGCTGCTATTTGTTGGGTATCTCGAACGATTCGCAGCTTTACGACCTGATCGCGTACTCTGGCTACAAATTTGTCGGCATCATCGTCACTGTCACTGTGGCCGAAATTCTGAATGGTGGCAAGGGTACCGGCGGGTGGATTGGCTGGGGTGTGTTCCTCTACACTTTCCTGGCCAACTCGTTGTTCTTGGTATGTTCTCCTGCAAATCACCACTTGATACAAATGACTAACATTTCCAATAGATGCGTTCGCTCAAGTACGTTTTGCTCCCTGAAAACGCAGCCAACGGTGCTGGCCCTATGCAGACTGGTGATTCCCGAGCCAAGCGAAACCAGAGGACCCAGTTCCTCTTCTTCTACTCCTACATTGTCCAGCTACTTTTCATGTGGATCCTGTCGAGGCCTTGAACCACCATCATCACGCTATAAAACTTACGCCAAGGGCCTCACTCTATAGAAAGGCCGATACGAGAAAAGAGTCCGGGAGTAGCTGGGAAGAGATGGCCGGTTGAAGTCAGCTTTTGGTGATGTGCGATTCATCGGACAATCAAGTTGAATTGCACGATACAACGACACGTCACTTTAGCCGCTTGCGTTGCTTGCTGTGTAGAGTCCCTAACATATTGGGGGGCCCGGTATACAGTACCCGAAGATGAGGAAGCTCTATCCCTGTAATATAGGACCAGTCGGAGCTTGTCACAAGGGGCAATCCACGACGATGAGTTGAGGCGATGAAGGGAACGCGAATCAAAACAAATGTTAGAAATCTGTATTGTAGTATCTACCTTACCAGTGCATTGAAGATTACAGTAGAACATCATGCAAGCGTTCTGCTGGCTGCGTATCATACACCCAATAAGGTTGCGCTAGTAGGCGCATCAAGGTTCTCTGTAGCGAATCAATTTTGCTGACGCTTCTGAAGATGGCAGCCTTCCCAGGCAATTCCCTCAGTATTTTCGACCTCTTATGAAGCACGATAGCTATGCTCATGCCCAATAAGACTCGCTCTTGTGAACCTCGATGCTTGTTGCCTATTGTGCCTGGAACCATGTAAGTGAGCTGCCACGTTGTCTAGCCTATTGGAGCTCTAGCTTGCTTTGAAGGGACAGCTGTCAGGAGCCCCACAAATCAGACATGTCATCAGTGATTCGCCGGTCCGAACTTGGACACCGGCCACCTCCACAAGCCGGGGTCGCTCCTCCCTCCACAGTCCACGACGAACCCCCGCCAGATCTTCCACCATCCGGCCCTGCATCCCGTGCAAACCTCAAACCTCTGCCGATTACAAATGCTTCAGCTTGGAAGGGTCAATGAACAGATTGCAATTTACATTCGACTCACTTTCTTTGCGCATTGCAGCATATAAATACTGACGTCTCAAGGCACCTATTTCCCATCAAGGCACTCTTATCTCTACCTAGGTATCTTCCTCTGCCTCAGCTTAAAGCCGCTTCGCAAGAATCCACCTGCCGTGGTTTACCCGACACGACAGTCTGCATCGCTCATTTCAACTCACCCATACCCGTTATTTCAGATCTTCAACAAATCAAAGTCAAGCTTGCATAGGTACTTGCTTACAAGTCACCATCATGGCGCTTCCTCCCATCGTCACTGCAACTTTGCAGTCCGCTGCCCTCAGCGGCACTTCGAACATACTGGCCCAAGTCCTCACGGCCTACCAGACCGATGTATGAATCTCCGAGACCCATGGACTCTACGCAAGGATATGTTGATCCTTCACATACCACTGCGCTGTTTTGATCATAACCTAAGATCCTCTTGCTAACACCATGGGCAGCAACAACTCGTCATCGACTGGGTCCCCGTCTTCCAGTTCATCATCTTCACTCTCCTCAGCACGCCGCCAAACTTCCTATGGTGGGTCTCCCAGCGAGCACTCGTCTTTCACCATCGCGGATCCCTCTTCTACCTGCATGCAAGATACGCGTCGTACCCGAGACCGTCGTCACTGACACATACCAGGCAAGGTTTCCTCGAAGAGAGCTTCCCGGCCTACCACGTCTCGCCCACCAAGAAGGCCATCGCCTCGGCCGCGGCCAACGACGAGAAAGCGCTCGACCGCGAGGCGCGCGAGGATAAGCTCGTAGAGCCCAAGCTCAACATCCGCAACACGCTCATCAAGCTGGTCCTCGACCAGACCGTCGGCGCCGCGCTCAACACCCTCGCGTTCAGCATGTTTATGCATAGTATCCAAACGGCCATGGTACGCCCGGAGCACCTTGCGGCCGCGCAGCACTCGGGCACGTTCTTGTTCTCGCGCGGTGCCGTTGACTATGGCAATGTTGACTGGCGGTCCGTCGTTCACAAGAGCCAGCTCGAGTTTGTGCCCATCTTCATTGCGGGCTTGAAGCTGTGGCCCATGGTCAGTCTGGTGAACTTTGCCTTTATTAAGAGCATTGAGGGAAGAAACTTGGTTGGTTCTCTTGCGGGTGTCGTTTGGGGTATTTACATGAGTCTGGTTGCTGCGCGATAAAGTGTTGCAATGGAGATGTAAGCCCGCACCATGGTGGGTAAATATCTCCATACTTTAGTGATGCTATGAAACTGATCACTAGACGGGGTCAAGATGGCAACCATTGGGTTGACAGTACGTTTTCACATTTTGGAGGAAGCGAGCGACTCGGACACAGTAAAGGGTAACGAGGAAGGAGGAAACAAGGCGCATGGAACCAAAATGGACATTTCATAGATGAAAAGGCTCTCCATGGTATTCGAAGCTTAGATACTTGGAGTGACAGCACGAACTACTTCACATGACACCTTGGTCATAGGAATTGTTCAAACCTTGACCACCACTCAAAGTGATTCTCCTCGAACCAAGTTGTAAAGACAACGGGATTCCAAATACATGGCCCCGCGTGCCTTGTTCACACCCCGTTATTTGCCCACCTCCTAGCACCTGGTATGTATCATATACCAGACGGGAAGAAGTTGGATGGCACTTTTACTTTTCGTTACAAATGAACTACTTCACACCCGCCATCTTCGCAACGCGCTTATAGAGCTTCGCCAACAAGGGAAATCTCAAAGTGACCTGCATGGTAATCTTACAGTATTCGAACAACCAGGCCCAAAAAGGGCCGTTAATCTCACCCACATTCTACGGGGATTGCTTTTTTGTGGCTGGCTGAAGGGCCAAAGCGGCTTGCTATTTGGCTATTAACGGTGAGAAGCGCCGCATGGCGTAATGACGTTGGAGGTCTTATAAAGTAAGACACTCGGCTACTATCCGTGCGACATCGTGTTCGCGTTGTGTATTGCTCCAGACGCTCGCATTGGATCACAGGTGGAATACGACTACATAGACAAGAACGCTGTCTCTCCACCGGTGGCCTTTTCGGTGAAGTGTTTTTGGCTTTCGACAAAGCTCAAAACTACTTACTTTTCTAAACTCGGCCGAGGGGTGTGGAGCATCGTCCATCTAGGTGCATCGCCGATCGGAATTCTATGCAACTTCTGCATCTTGTAATTCCGTATCCGCACTCTGTACCCATCCCTCGGAATCTGCAAGACCCAACCGACTGGTCTACTTTACTGTGTATAGTGTGGTTGTCTGGTGATTTTGCTCCGGAGCCTTCTCCTTCGTCGACTATTTTCGGGATTCTCATTGGCTGACTCGTAACGACGTCGGCGAGTGGCTTCTGATTGGCCAAACGGCGAAGAACTCGTTCCTTTTACTCCGGGAACGAGGATGATGCCGTTTGGAAGCGATGTGACGTCAGGGTTAATGCAGAGGCCACAACAACAACGACCCCCCAATCCGCGCTTACATCATGTGCATATCGGGAGCGCGGGAAGGGACGATCTGACATCCAGCAGTGCGCAGCCGCCAGGGACAAAACTCTCTTTTCCCCCTCAGCCTTCAGGAACAGGCCAGAAGTCTATTGAAGGAGCTTGGCCAGGAAAAAAAAAGGGGGAGGGAGGGAGAGGAGGTAAACAAACAGAAATGGGATGGAGTCTCGGAAACTAGCGACGTTGACTTTTTTGATGGTTGCAATTGAGGTGGGAAATGTGGCCGGGATGGGGGAAGCAAGGTGGCTGCGTTGGTGGTATTGGGGGTTGAGGACTTTTGGTGTTATTGGCGACTCCACGTGTGAAAGTCAGGATGACGTGGGGCCATAACGTCACTGGCAAATGAGCGGGCTGAACTATCTTTTTGGTCACTATCACCGCTCAGCGCGCCTTCTCAAAAGAACACTGGACCTCGAGGTAAAGAATGGAGGGGCCAATCCTCCACCAGAAGTTCAGTAGTCTCCAGAAGGTCTCAAGAACAAGATGCAGAGATGAATGGAGCAAGTGGAATGGTTGGAAGGCGCCATATCCGTAAAGAAGACGGAGAAGAAAGTCGATCCGATTTAGCACGGGTTGACAGGTCCTGTAGCGTCGAATCCGGGTCTCCATCGAAGCTTTTAGTGCAGCATTGTCGAGACGGTCCAGGGAGGCACGATGCAACCCTATCCACCCATGATTGGTTGTTGCTCTGTGAATTCCATCGCGAGCCGGGTGGAGTCGTGGACCTCTGTTTTCTCGGGGAAGGAAGTCGAGCTTCGGAGAGTGTTGGGCATTCCCACTTTTTGCCTGCCCCCCCGGTTGCTGGTTGGGGACCTTTTTTTCTTTCTCTCTCTCTCTCTCTCTCTCTCTCTCTCATTCTATGCTGCAGCAATTTCCCTGGCAGATGCAGAGATACATATGCGGACGACATGGTCTATTTGGCCCAATTCAGAACCTTTGCGATCGGATACCACGCGCGAGGTGACATTCTGGGAGTTGATCTCTTCTAAAATTGGTCTTCGGGGGCCGGATGATGGATCCCCAATCTCACTCAATATCACTAAACATCGGCATCTTAGGTTCAGTTTTGGAATCTTGGAATCCTTCTTGACCGCCTTCACCGGGCTCTCTCTCTTGCTCTCCCCTTTCCTCCCCCCCTACCAACATCAACATCATGCCGTGCCGTAGCGTAAGGTAGGAGGGGAGGAGCGAGAAGTTGTCCAATACCATGAGGGCGAGGGCTGAGACGCACGACTCAAAAGGGCATGGGACGGAAGCACTAAGAAATAAGCCATACTGAATCATTCTCTCGTTGCCGCCGCCTACAACCTATTAGTGCACCTTCCCACTTCTGCCGTCCGGTCGTCGTCTCGTCGACTTCCCCCCTCGTCGCCTAGGACTCTATCCATAGACTCCATTCGTACACTGTTGACTCCCGTCGAGAGAATCGCGTGCCGGGGTCACGATACCGTCGCAGGAAGGATCCTTCGTCATCGGATTCCGTTCCGCGTCCCCCCCCCGTCCCTTGTCTTTCCGCCTTCCCACCGCCCAGTCCTGGGTTGCCGCTTTCTAAACCTTACCTCCTTGCCAGCGTGACCTTGACTGCCCGGATAGGCACTTTTCGATTCCTCTTGCTTCCTCTCACAAGCCCGCCTACATGCACCATCTAGCATCACCAACCTGCCTGAACTCGCGACAAGGAAAAAGTCACTACTGTGTCCAGCTTCAGGTCAGCCCGAGGCCATTCCGCAAGGACAAAGGAGAGACTGACACGGCGTTGGCACCAAGAGTCCGAGTCTACTCTTTTTCTCTCTCTAAGAGACCGTCATCTGCATAGCAAGCCACATTGCGACGTCCGTCGTTCAGCCCCCCGACACTTGACCCCGGTCACCCATTGGAAAGGGTCGTCACATCATCCACCAGTGATCGTCCTCCTCTCTCACCTTCTGTTCTGACCTCCCAGCGTGCTCGTCTTGCCATCCCATCTTGTCTCTTCTTCACCTTGGAACACCTTCCCGAGGCAGATTTTACGGCGCATCTTGGCCTGCACGTCGAATCAAGGCTTCTTGCCTACGCTTGCGAATCCCCATTTCGATCCAATTCGCTGCCACGACCCAAAAGTCGGCCAAGGTCCGATGCGAGATACCCACCGCTGCAGATTTACACAACCACCTGGACAACGCATTCACGGCAAACATCCCGCGTCCTCCATCTAACAAGCTTGATTGGGGTCCTGCCGAATTCCATCAGGATTCAGGACGACTCTGTCAGCACCCAACCAGTCTCCAACTTGGTGGCCTGCTCACCGCGGACTGAGTTGCCGCCGCGTGCGCTCATCTCCACCCGGCAAGCAGAATCGCAACTTCCGAGCTCAACCACCCTCGTCTGCCTCATCCACTTTGGGCCACTATTGCACACATTACAACCCCGGCTCGCTTCTGCCGCTTTTTCTCTGCCTTCCCACTTGCGCCTGCACCTTTCTCGCATCTCCTTCACCTGCATCAAAACCCGCCCATCAGCCTCAAATCACCTCGCCCAGGGCCACAACGCGTGCGCGCGCATCTTGCCGACCCAGGCTTGATCTTCACCGGCGGGACCGACGACAACTTTCACCAGCCAGCCGCAAATCCAAGAGGAGGGACAGCGCCAAAAGGGTTGTGCATCTGGTCTGGCTGCAAGATCTCCCCTCTCTCTCTCTCCAGGCCAAGATTGGTTGAGAATGAGAGAGAAAACAGATACTGACAACGAGACCTGCCGATCCCTTGGCTGAGCGGACGACTCACACCCTGTCCACAGCCATGCATCCTCCCCCGCTCCTCGGTGTGGGCGTTGTTGATCTGCTCGAGTCCGATCCCCGACCGAGCTTCGTCGTTGCGCTACCAACTTCATTCAAGGACCCCGCGCTTGCCGAGGTTGTCTACAGCAATCCGGCTCTGGTGAGCAAGCCTGCTCTTTTCGAGGTCCTGGGGTCACTTTCGAGCCGCGACCATACAAGATTTTGGGACTGGATCACCGCCCAAGACGCCAACCCGCCACAATCTTTCTTGTATAACAACCATTTTTGGACACGAAACGCCCTGCTTTCCAGATGGGTCGTTGTGAGCTCCAACGATTTCCCAGTTTCCTCAGAGCCTCCGAGAAAGATTCGCCTGGATGGTTCGAGAGGCAGAGAGTCTAGCAGCGGTATCTTGCACCCGCACACTTCCACCGTGCCCTCGGTACCTTCGGCAGAGTCGTCCGCAGAAGACTTGTCCTATCCCCGGATCGTTCGAGCAACCACCGAGCCGCCGATAGTGTTACCAGATTTTATGCCAGACCAAGAGCCTTTTCTCGAAATGGTCGACAGTGTTGACTGGAGCGCAACTCCCCTGGGTGCCATGGACCGGTGGCCATCACTGCTTCACCAGTCTTATAGCCAGATATTGTGCAACTCTCAGCCCACAGCAATCTACTGGGGCAAGAAGCTCACGACAGTCTACAATGAGGCTTATGGAGAGATGATAGGAGCCCGACACCCCAACCTGATGGGCCATTCCGTGACCGAAGTCTTCCCTGAAATTACAGATCAGCTCAGAGATATGATGGAAAACCCTGGGCAAAGTCGTCGCGCGAGCAACGAGGAGGCATTCCGCTTTTTCCTCGAAAGACCTGACGGATCACCTCTCGAGACATACCTAAAGTGGTCGATCGTACCGGTCATGCAGAACGGCGAATGTCTTGGCTTCATTCACTTGATATCCGACACAACTCTATACCACCTTTTCCGTCGGCGGATTCAGATGCTCGTTGATATGGGCGAGGAGCTCGTCACAGCCAAAGATGTAAAATCCTATTGGAGCAAGCTGATCGAGGAGCTCTCGGAATGCGATCCCGCATACGACATACCCCTCGCGATGCTTTATTCGATTGAGTGTGATGGATCGTCACACTCTGGAAGCGAGTCGCGGCACGATTGTAATCACGTTTGTCGGCTCGAGGGCGCTCTTGGTGTTCCGGCAAACCATCCTATCATGCCTGAAACCCTGCAACTGAGGGACACCGATGCTGGTTTGGCGCCACAGTACCGAGCTGCTCTACGCAGCCATGAGCCGCTAATCATCAGCACATCAGATGGCAGTCTACCCAAAGAGTTACTGACTGGTCTGCAGTGGCGCGGATTTGGCGATCCCTGCGAAGCTGCTATTGTCCTGCCCATTAGACCCACGAAGGAGGAGGAAGTCATGGGACTGCTTGTGCTGGGGCTCAACCCTCGACGGCCCTATGATGATGCATACACCCTCTATATCCAACTGCTAGCGCAGAAGCTCACAACATCTCTGGCTTGTACAGTCTTATTAGAGGAGGAACGACGTCGAGGAAGGAACGCTGCTGAGCAAGCGGCATACGATCAGGCCATGCTGAAAGAGAAGCTCGCCTACCAGACCAAGGAAGCCACAGAGTACACCCGATTGTTCCAGACGGTTTCCGACTTCATCCCTAACGGATTTTCCCTTGGGGACCACCAAGGGAACTTTACATTCGCAAACGGCCTTTGGTACCGTATAACAGGACACCCTGACGAAGGCGGCTCGTTCTCTTGTGTATTGGAAGCAGACCGAGAAAAGATACGCGAGGCGTACAAAGAACTGCAGACAAAGGATGAAGTCGAATTTGAGTTCCGTGTCAAAGGGACAAAACATACAAACAGTGTGCTGGCAAGGAGATCACCCTTCAAAGCCGACGTGTACAGTGATCTTGATGATGAGTTGGAACGTTTTGTAATGGCCCAGGCAAAGGCTGAGCGAGCGACAGACGGAACGATCATTCGAACTTTCACTTGCCTGACAGATGTCACTGCACACAAGAGGACAGCCGACGAAGCGACCAGGAGGGCCCAACAGGCAGAGAATCTAAAGAGGATGGCCGAGCTGGCCACAGTTGGTATGTTCGATATGGACACCGGAGGACGTTTGCTTGGAGCAAACAACGTCTTTTTCGAGCTGTCGGGGATAGAAAAGGTGGATCCTTTGCAACACGAAGTCCGGCCATGGGAAGTTTCGGTCGTAGAAGACGACCTTCCAGCCTTGAGTGAGAGCGTGGCTCGGCTCGTATCGACGAAAAAGCCCCAATCGGCTGAGATACGCCTGAAGACCACATGGACTGCCGAGGATGCTGGAGGAAACCAAATCACGGCGCCCAGATGGGTACACACCACTCTGATGCCAGTGTGCAATTCAGACGGCATTGTTCAGTCGTTTACTGGCTGTGTCAGCGACGTCTCATTGCAAAAGTGGCAACTCGAATTGGAAACTCAACGCACCGAGGAGGCAATCGACTCGAAGCGGCAGCAGGATAACTTTATCGATATGACTTCTCACGAGATGCGAAACCCGCTCAGCGCTATCGTTCACTGCTCAGACGCCATCATTGCCTCTCTCGCACGATGTGAGGAGCTGGTCGACCGGCCTCTTACGCCCAAGGCAGCCAAGTCTGACGGCGAAAATAACGACAAATATTTTGATATCAAGCAGCTTCTTTCGGATAGCATCGAGAATGCGGAGACGATTGTTGCCTGCGCGCAGCATCAAAAGCGGATTGTGGACGACATCCTGACAATGTCCAAGTTGGACTCCAAGCTCCTGGCTGTCACTCCCTGCACAGTCAATCCTGTTCAAATTGGCGAGGAGGCCATCAAGATGTTCGACGTGGAGGCTCGTCGTGTTGATATTGACCTCAAAATGACTGTTGACAAGTCGTATCGGGAGCTGGGTCACGTTTATCTTGACCTTGACCCTTCCCGCGTCAAGCAGGTCCTCATCAACTTGCTTACCAACGCTCTCAAGTTCACAAAGTCTGGTTCAATCAGGAATGTGTCTGTTTGCATGAAGGCATCGCGACAACGGCCGACGGACGAGACGGCACCGGTCACCTTCATTCCCCGATCCTGCAAAGAAGAGTCGGAATACGAGCAGCCTGCTTTAGACAACCGTAGAGACCCAGTCTACATTATGTTCGAGGTCAAGGACACCGGCCAGGGCCTGTCGGAAGACGAAAAGTCAAATCTCTTCAACAGGTTCGTGCAGGCGAGCTCGCGAACTCATGTCAAGTACGGTGGAAGTGGACTGGGGCTGTTTATCTCGCGACGATTGACGGAGCTACAAAAGGGCGCTATCGGCGTGGCCAGCTTGCCGGGGGTGGGGTCCACGTTTGCGTTCTTCATTGAGGCATACGTGCCGACGGAAGCGTCGCGGAGGGAAGCCGAATCTGCGGCCGCGGATGTCAGGATGACGACTCTGGCCACTGCAGCAAACACGCCATCCACACTGCCGCGGATTAGAGCTCCCGCGAACGAACAGAGAACACCTGGCTCGCGGCCGAAACCTAAGAGTTACGACCCCCGGCTAGACGGGATCCTTGTCGTGGAGGACAACTTGATTAATCAGCAGATAACCCGTCGCGGTCTGCAGGATAGGGGATTCACTGTCGATGTGGCCAATCATGGAATCGAGGCTCTAGAAAGGCTCATGCAGTCCATGTCCTTGCAAAAGCAGGAAGACCCAGAGTACTTTACCCACAACAACTCAAGTTCCCAGGGATCTCCCGTGTCGATCAACCTCATCCTCATGGACATAGAGATGCCAGTGCAGGACGGGTTGACATGCACGCGGCGCATCCGGGAACTAGAGAAGGAAGGAAGAGTGTTCTGTGAGAGCGGTGGAAGAATCCCCATCATCGCCGTCAGCGCCAATGCAAGGCCGGAGCAGATGCAAGACGCCAAGAGCGCTGGGTGTGACGACGTGCTCGTCAAGCCTTATCGGATGCCGGAGCTAATCGAGAAGATGCAAGTGGTGGTCCGGCGGATGGGGGGCCTTTCACCCGGGTCGCCTATACCATAATGAAAGCTGCCTATCGGAGAGACGGAGGAGCGGCGGGAAAAGCATTATCGGTCACATGGAAAGCCAAGGGCTGGTGATCCTGCAGAGACGGGTACGGCGTTTAGGCAAAGGGGAGCTACAGCAGGACTGGGCTCGGGGAAGAGGACTGCTTCCGGAATTTAAGTCTAGACACACTTGGCTGTGTGTCGTGTGGTGGATGGACGAACAGAGATACCAAAAATGGCCTTGGAGGTGCTGGCGGACAGGAAGACTCCAGACGTTTGGATGTCACACGGGCGAGAGAGACTTGGCATTGGATGGCGTTGAGCGGCGGGTGGGCTAGCCAAGTCGATGAATTTGGGGAGAAAGACTGGCTCAATCCAGAGGGAAGTGAAAGGAGAATGTTTTCGTGGAATGAGAGGTTCCTCGGCAAGTCTGCTGCTAAGGGTGGTCCAGCAGTTAAAACACAGATGTAGATGGGCTAGATGGAGAGAAGGAATAATAACAGACAATTCACTACAAAACAATCAGCCTGGGTGTCAGGGATTGATTGCCTGCTGCTGTTCAAGGCCCAGGTAAAGGAAGGGTCACATACCATGTCTTTGTCACTATTCGTAGGTCCTTGCGTGCTGAATTGTAAAGACCGCCAGGTGAGGTTGTTGAAACCCCAAGAACCCGACCTGGCATCGCCAAGGTAAGAGTGAAGGGAAAAGGCATCAGACGAGACGGAGAAATTCATCATTGGTCGGGATTTTTGGGGGCCGCCGGCGATGCAGGGGGCCTGGAAGCGTTTGTGTCACGGCCCCACTATGGGCGCCGCGGGGCTTGGCCGGTGGTTCAGGGAAAGAAATCCCGGTTTGATGCCATCTGTACATCTTTTTACGCTTCGGAATGGGTTCTATGCAAGTAGGTGAGCACGCTAGTGCTACTATAGAGGAGATCTCGCTCTTCTCACTGGGGAGACTGAGGAACAATAGCTAGGAAGAAAGCTTGGAGAGGATGAGGTGCTCCATACATGGGAATGTAAATACAGGATGGCGCAACGTGAACGGGCAGCGGGGAGTGCGGGCCGACTCGGGCTTTGAGGTGTGAGAAGAGCTCGAAGTTGTGGAATCTAGAGTAAATGTAGGGTTTTTGATGCGTCCCTCGATTTTGCGTGGTACTCGGCAGGTTTAGCCCATCTCTTGGGAGCATAAGGTAGCATAAGGTACATAATAGTTGAGGGGACCGTGAAGTTGGCATGTGAGATGACAGTCCCGGCAGGGGGGGGGGGTCTTGTAATGCAAATGGAGCCTCTTGAGATGATTGAGCCAAGTTATGACCGATTTGCGTAGGGGCTTACACATATCATCTAAGCACTACATCCCCCTTTTTTTTCTAATCAATGAAATGCTTGTCTATAATCAGACGATGGACGGATGGGGGATTCTCTCGATTTCTCGAGGCCCGCTCGCGGAGGTTGGGGACGGGAGCTGTTCCTATGTGCTTGGGGAAGGTCCGTGGCTTGTTCCAATCTGAGGTTGCCCGAGCTTCCTTCCGTCGATTGTGAAGAACAATTGACAAAACTGCAAAATACGCATGTGATCTTCTTTCTTTCTTCCTTCTAGTTCCCTAAGACTTGACATGTTGTTCTCTGAAAACCTACTTTAGCGGGCAATACCTTAGCCGTCCCATCAGAGGTGGATATTGGCGCAAGTTCGATTTGTAGTGTAAAATCGGGGGAACGAGGGGGAAGTACCCCTCCCCCGCCAGGCCAGGTAGCTCCGCCAAGACTCACCCAAGGTACCTACTGCGTCGTGGGCAAAGCTCCTGCATGGCATGGCGCTATCCGCCCCCCCCCCCACCCCTTATCCAAGTGCAACAGACGGAGCTCCCACCCGAACCTCACTTCCTCACAAACACAAACAGTGCCCTGCGCAACGCCGTCTTCAACCGACCACCCGCATATACCGGACCTACCTGACCTTGCATACAGCTTACCTGCCAAGTACTTACTTACCTAGCCAACCGGACTACCGAATATAAACTCTCCGCAAGTCTCTCTCCCACCGACACATCTCTCTCTTCTCTGCCTTTTCTTACAAATGCCCCCGACTCCCACGCTCCTAACCTCACTCCAAAAGTTGCCCCGCCTTCGACTCCGGAATCCCATCCTCACCATCACCACCACCCCGCCATCGTCGTCACGGTCTCGCGCCTTTGTATCTCTGTGCTTACCTACTACACCGACGCCGACGACAACGACGACAACGACGACCCGTCGGGTAGCGATCTACGACACAGGACAACAACAGCAACACCGCCGATTAACAACCGGTGTTCGTCTCTGTACGAACAAAATCAACGGACGACGCAACGTCCTGCTGCTCGGGAAAGAAGTCGGCGTCGAGAGAATCACAGACGAAATGGCGGACCGGATTCACCGCGTGACCATGTTCAAGATTGCCGATGAGGGGCAGCAGAAGGAGCTGATTGAGCAGTATAAGATTTTGGGAGGGTCGCATAAGAAGGTGTGTCTCTTTTTTCTTCACCTTTCTTGTTGTTGCAGTCGTAACTTTTCCTGCGAAGCGAGGGACGGGATGAGGATGGGTGCGGAGGGGATGGGGAGCTTTCGTCCATCGGATCCCGGCACCCGGGGGTGTTCGGCCCCACTGTAGCTCATTGCGCCGACGTCGTCATGTTGGGATCGAAGAGACGGGGGGTTTTGGATTCACGTTTTCTATGACTTTGCTGTTCGTTTCGACATCACTTCATCAGACTGATACTAACGGAAATCCCACCAGGACGGAAAGCCGTACATCCTTTCCATGGTCGTCGGCCCGGCCGTCGACGACCCGCGCGCCCAGGGCTTCACTATTGTGGCCAAGACCGAGTTCGCCTCGCTCGAGGACATGAAGTACTACGACGACGAGTGCGCCGCCCACGGCGTCCTCAAGTCCTTTGTCAAGGGCAACCTTACCGTTGGCGGCGTCATGTCTGTCTACTTCAAGCCCGAGGCCATTTCCGTTTTGTAGACGTGTCTTGCGGCTGGGAGCAGAGCACCATAGGCCATGGGTCAATGAGAGTCCAGAGGGTGGTGTGGATCAAAGGGAATTCATCAAGACTTCACCAGAGAAACCGAGGTGATTGTAAGGCAGCTTTTTCTCCCCGTGTTTCTCTGGTGTAGAAAACCTCTTTCCAGAAAAATGTCAAATACTCCTTGTTGCCGGTTATGGACAGGTATCAAGCTACTTTGCATATATAGAAATTCCTCCTTCAATCCTGACACACAATCATGAAATTCACCCTCCTTTCCGGTTTGACCTTTGTTGCCTCGAACCATATTTTTGGACGTCTTTCTTTTTTTATTCCCCCCTTGCCCCCTTGTCGTGCAGAGCTAACGATTGACAACCGACTCTCCGATAAATAAACAAAAAACCACTTACAGCCCAGGATATGAGAAAAGGAAATAGAGCCGCATCACCGACAGATCGACAAGAGAAGTACACAACCACACACGCGCACACACTCATATGCTTACGAAGCAGCGGCAACAGCAGGCGCGGAAGCCGGAGCAGTCGCGGGCGCCGTAGTGGAAGCGGCAGTCGTAGCAGCAGTCGTGGCAGCCGCATCGGTAGCGGGAGCAGGGGGCTGCGTCAGGTTCCCCTCGGAGAAGTTCTTGAGCCCCTCCATCCAGGCGGCGAAGCCCGTCTCGAGCTGGCCGACCATGGTGAAGCGGAGGACCTGGGCGAGGGGCCCGTAAAAGGTCTCCCAGCAGCGGTACTCTGTGCCGTTGCCGTCCTCGGTCTCGAGGAACTCCTGGACGCGCTCCGACTTTAGGACAAAGGGGGGCACGAGGCCGCCCGTCTTCCAGCAGACGCGGTAGCCTTTGCGGCCGCGGTGGACGGGCTGGGTCTCGCCGTTTGCGACGGCGGTGGAGGGGGCGGCGTGGGTGTACTCTTCGAGTTTGGTTACGACGAGGGCCTGCTTTGTGGTTGTCTTTGCCGGGTCGAGCGTCATGTGGACTTCAAAGGTGACGTGGGTGCCCTCGAGGAGGAGTTCGCCCGGCTGGTTCTTGGCGACGGAGGAGTCGGCGAGCATGGGCGGGACGGCGAGGCCGGAGGGGCGGGAGACGGTGGCTTTGGGGACAAAAGTGTTCCAGGCTGGGTAGGTTGCCGGGTTGAGGACGGCGGCGAGGACGGCGGTGGGTTTGGCGGCGATGGGGGTCGCGCAGGCGATTGTGAGGACGGCGCCGATGTCGCCGTGGGACGGGGTCGCGAGGGGAGGGGAGACGGGGGTGGGCGTGAGGGAGGTGGGGATGGAGTCGGTGCCCTTGTCGAGGGCTTTGGGGGATTTGGGCTTGAGCTGGTCGGGGATCTGCTTGATCGAGTCCGGGATGGTGATTCTTTGGCGTATGGCCTCCATTGTTGATTACTGTTACTGAACGTTGACTGGACTTCTTCTTCTTGTTCTTCTTCTTCTTCTTCTTCTTCTGGGGGGGTATCTCTGGGTATAATGATGAATGTGACAAAAGACAGATGGATGTCGAAGGGAAGAAGAAGTTTTGCCGGATGGGTATTGATGTAAAGATGAAAGGTAAGGAGAGGAAAAGACGGCGAACGGAGAAAGGATGGAACGATGGAGGAGGAGGAGGGGGGCAGCAAGGGGGTAAGTAAAAGAGGAATAATACGGGGCCTGGAGCACAACTCAACTCAAAAGTAGGGCGAGAAGGCAAAGTAGAGGGCACACAGGTAATAGAAACGGGAGCGATTCAGGTCAGTTGTATCAAATGGACGGGATTGGGCTTTAGACTTCCTGGTCTCGTGAGGAGATGCGCGTCATGGGATGGGGGGAGGGATGGATGGAAGCCCGGCGGAGGAGGAGACGAGGAGGAAGATGAGGGGCTTGACGGTTGGCTGCCTGGGCTGGATGAGGTGTATCCAAGGTGTATCCGTAAGGTGTGTAAGGTGTAGGGGGAGGGCAGAGGACAGAGGGCAGGGGAGGAGGGGGGCTGTGAATCCGTGATCAAACGGTAGTGTCGTGAGCGTGATGTGAAGCTGTGGTATGAGGCTGGCCCGAGCAAACGGTCGGGAATAGAGGTGTGGTGTGTGGTCAATGGTGTGTCGATGAGTGAGATGTAATGTGTGTGTGGTGGTGGTTAGGTGTAGGTTGCCGACGATGATGAGATTGGCGACCGCCGACGGGCGATTTTTAGTGGGAACAACAGAAAACCGATGGAGAAAGTTGGGGGTTTGACGGCTGCCGCGGTCCGGATCTGTCCATTTTCGGATCCAGGCCGCCCCCCTCCCCGCTTTGAGTCCGGGGGACATGGGGGTATCGATGACTCCACCTCACAGGGATGAGGCGGGATGGGAGGGGTCTTTTTTTCGGCGATTAAACACGGAGATCCGAATCGGAGATGCTTTCTAAGTGCTTGCACTGATCAGATTGTTAGCTAGGTAGTTGAGGGGGCTACCCTTCTTCCGCACAACCTTTTCCGACACTGGATGGACAAGAATGAACATGGCTTAATGGATAGGTATCCGAACGAAAGCTCAGAATATCTTGCAATGAAATTCAAACGCGAAAAGGCGATCTTGATGCCCACCCGGCAACCCCTCAGCATGAAAAATACCAGTATATGCCCTGCTCGCAACGGGTCTGACACGTGTAAGTGCAATGGAGAACCCAAGCCAACTGGCTGAGGTGGAAAAAGCAAACCAACCCCCCTTTCGCCCAGCTCACCAACTTCAACCGGGAAGTAGCCTGCGCATCTTGCGCATGAATGATCGAAGCAGACCCAAAGAACCCGTCTCCACCGTTGGGCGCCGATTGTCGTTCGTTGGCAGAAACGGCTTTTCGCAATAAATGTGGAGGAGGGGATATAATAAGGCACTACTAATTCGATAAGAAGTGTCCCGTAGAGCGAAGCCAACGCCTGTGTCCCAGGAAGACGGCTCTGGAAGCTCGAGGCTGAAAGGGTTCGAGCGCTGGGACTCGAGTTTCGCCTCGTTTTCGTCCTTGGTCTTTGTTGGCTGATTTGCTCCATTGAGTTCCAGGGATAGGGGGTTGCAAATGTGAAATTTCACCAGCCGCACAGAGCAAAATGCGAGGTGAAGAAAGTGCCATAGCTCGAACGAAGATGGAGTAGGTAGGCATTACACAGAAAGGTAGGTGTTGGAGAGAGGGGGGGGGAAGTCGCCCCATCTTCAAACCCAATTGTTCCCCTCAGTCAAACTTCCAAGTTCGACGCTCTTTTCCGGTCGTTTCGTTGTCGACCTGGAAAAGCCATAACGTCCGAGCACGGCAGTCTGAGCCGATGATTTTGATGATTTTGATTCCATGTAGACTTCTTCGAAATGTTACTTTAGTTCTGTAAAAGTCAGACAAATCCATTTCGCTTTACATTCTGAGTAAGGGTCGAAAGATTAAAAATAGTCAGTCTTCGAATTTAATCATCCGTTAATTCTTCTCAACTCGCAAGCTTCTGCAACAAATCGTGCGCCCAACTCGAAAAGTAATAAGTTTCATACACAGAGACCGCGCGCAAGAACCATTGTCTCGGTTCCAAGTTCCAAGTTCCAAAATCCTCAGACCCCTCCCCTTTTACATCCCATCCCCCAAGCAACTCACTTGTCCAAGACAAGGTCTCAAAACCACGTCGTCCGCCCACGCGCCCAACCACACAACCGTCACACCGCTGCCACGAGCCGTGTCTTGGCCGCCTGGAAGAAATTTGCAAAAAGCACGAGGCAGAAGACGAGTTGTGCGCTCTGTCTGAAGATGAGGCGCGGTGAGTCATATCTCTGATCTCGATAGATGTGGGACAATGGCGGCTGGCCAGGGAGATGAGTATCAAATTCTTCTCTTTTAAGGACTACCTTATGCGACACTGTTGAATTAGTCATTCTAAATGCGAGATTCGCATCGCAAGACGCACATGCCTCGAAATCAGAACCGGTGGAGACAAGCTGCGTGTCTCTTGTCATTAGGCGCATCCACCCAAACCCGCTCGTGTCGGATCCATGGGAATTCTACTTATGATGAATGCTATCAATGCGATTAACCCGCATGGCGTATCATCACAAGAAGCACAAAAAGTATTGATAGTGAACAGTCTGTCTTTCGTCGAAACTTTGAACCGCCTTGAAGGAGGCGAAAACTACTTTACATACACCAGAAAGTTCCTAAGCCATGATGCAGTTGGACGCTTGCGACCAAGTCTGTCCGAAATGCTTACGAGAATAAGAGCGCATAGGAGCGCGAAAGCACAATACCTCCCAATTCCTGAGCCGATGCCACCCGGTTGACGCCTTGTAACTCCCTGAAAGAAGCAGATCCTGGTTTTCCGATTCCCTGAAATTGGATATCCCCATGAAGCTATATGAGCGTGTCGGACAATGCGTTGACTATGAAGTTTAGGCTGTGCGACCGTGGACCGCAGCCGAGGCGACGGAGCGACCGGAGCGAACACTGGCCATGTCGCTCATCTCGGTGCCATCGTGGTCGTTGCCTTCTTGCTGCAGGCGTGTCTTATTGGCTTGCTGCGCATGACCAGTGAGAAGGGTGATGGATCTGGGGTCCTTCTCCCAAGTAAAGACGGCGGCGACCACCATAATGGCGCAGACGCTGATCATGAAGATTGTCTGGTCTCTAAAGGAGTCGGCGTAGACATGCTTGACAAGGTTCAAGAGGTGCGAGTCCCACTCGGAAGATGTGGTCGGAGAGTGGGCCAGAGTCTCACGTTCAGCCGGAGAAAGACGATCGCTGAGAACCTCCAAGCGCGTATTGAACAGAGCAGTGCAGATAGCGACGCCAAGACAGCCACCGAGGGCGCGAGCTTGAGCGAGAATACCTTGGGCGACGGCGTGTTCCTTGGTCGATTCCGCTTCGACGCCAGAGAGAATGGTCGTGGAGCCGAAGTTGAGGCCGACGCCCAGTCCAAAGACGAGGGTGAATCCGTACGCAGGAGCAAAGTCAGCCTGAGCGCCGACGACCATAAGCATGAGACTAATACCGATGACTTGCGCAATTGAAGCGACAGTCATGACGAGAGCCACCTTGTTCGATTTGGAGTTCAACGCTCCAGCAACGAAAGATCCGACTGCGCAGGCTCCAAGCATAGGCAACAGGTACATGCCGGACTTCAGAGGGCTCTCCTGCGCAATCACCTGCATGCGTTCCGGGATAATGACTGTAAGGGCGACATAGGGAAGTCCGGTGAGGAAGGTAACGGCCAAGCCGCACATGAAAGGTCTGCGTCGAGCGAGGTGTACTGGAAAGACAGGCTCTGGGTGCGAGCATCGCAGATGATCGATTAAGAGGCAGCGCGTTCGGTAAAGGTAGTTCTCGAAGATGCTGAAGATGGCCCAGCAGGATCCAGAGCACACAAACATGACAATGACGGTCCAGTGGGCCCAACCGTAGTATGCGTATCCACCACGCTCGATAGCGACAACGAGGAAGACCGAACCAAAGAAGAGAGTGACCATACCAACCACGTCAAGCTTTTTGAACGCCGTCCAAGAGTAAAGCTTGAAGGCGTTTCGGTCTTTGGGGTAGGCCACAGCGAGGCAGGCCACGGCGAACAGTCCGATGGGGATGTTGAGTCCAAAGATCCAGCGCCAAGTAATCTTGGAGACAATGACACCGCCCAAGATGGGGCCAAGAAGGAAAGCCGCTGCGAGAGTGATGCCGATGATGCCTCCCATCAGAGCTGGGTTGTGGGCAGGGCCTTGCTCGAGCAGGCAGGTCTGGGCGAGGCTGTACAAGCCCGAGCCCCCGACGCCCTGAAAAGCGCGGCCAATGATCAAGAGAGTCATGCTGTTCGCGCCAGCACACAGAGCCGAAAAGAGAATGAAGATAGCCCAGCTGTAGAAGAGCATGGCTCGGCGACCGTAGATGTCACTGCACTTGGCAATTCCGACAGCGCAGCCCATATAGGTGAGGAGGTAGACGAGGAGGACGAAGGATGCGTGATGGTAATCGCCAATCTCCTCAGAGATGGCGATCAGGGAGGTGGCGATGATGGAAGTATCGAGCGTAGCGAGGAACAGGCCCACGAGAAGGCTACGTGGTCAGCTAGGTTCGCGAGAATGCTGCAAATTTCTTACCTGATAATGATCAAGATCTTCTCAATCTTGTGATGGCGAAGGCTCGCAGCAGAGTACTCAGCACCGCGGCGGCGAGGGGCAAAGTTCTCGACAGCGAAGCCAGCTGTATCGCCGAGAGACGGGTTGGGATAGGAGAGCTGTTCAGCCATCTCGCGATGAGGAGGAGACTGGGCGGCCATTGATGCAATGGTCTTAACGATGGTTGACGGCGGTCTTTGTTGGCGTGGGAGCAGAACGAAGCAAGGGTTTGCGATTTCCTTCTTCTCTCAGCGGCAGAAGATGGAGAGAGGCCCTCGAATCTTACCGATGGTAATATTCGGAGCTTGATTCCAGCTTGTCCTGAAGAGAGTTATGACGATGTGCCAGAGATTTTCTGAAGAGCAGAGGGGAAAAAGAGAGATTGTGTGGGTGTGGTGTGGCTGTGGTATGGGGAGAGAAGGTGTCTGGGTGGTGGAAACCTGGCTGAGGAAGGTCTCTGAGGATACCTGACTGCTCTCGCCTCGATGGACTTAAGGGCTGGCTTACTTTTCCTGATGGATAAGGAAAGGGAACTGGTAACAAGACAGTGCTCGGCCTTGTGCCTGCCTGTCCTTGGTGCCTTTGCAGAGTGGATCGAGGAAGGTAGACGTGGGCCTTGGCTGGTAGTTGAACTTTTGTTTACCTCGACGATGCAACAATGAGGCAGGTGGCGTGAGGAGAAGAGGAACACTTTGAGGGTACGTGTGTGCGTGTGTATGTGTGAACACACATCTCCCTTTGGTGTGAGGACTTCAGCGGCAGCAAGGAGCAAACGAGGTAAGCAGCTGCCCATCTTCTCCAACTTGGACAGTGGCTGCAACACATAGTTATACTGACCGAAGCTCTTTGCCATCATGTTGACAGTAGAAGAAGGGCATCAAATGCACCTATCCATGATGCCCGAGACAGTGGTTTTCCTAGAGGCTTGCGCATCCAGCCTAGGCCGGGGTGAGAATGAGATCTTCTCTGACAGTTCCACCTTGGCTAGGCGAAGACACGGACAATGACGGGTGCTGTGCCAGGTAGGACAAACAACTTGAAAGCGGCAAGACTGAGAAGCATAGTTGAAGTAGTTGTTCGCGAACCCTGTGCCCTGGCCTCGCTCGGTTGTGGTAACGAAGACACTATGTTCCGAGACAAAGGCTTTCTTGCTTGAGAATGGAGGCCGAGGAAAAGCCAGGGGCAAATTGATGACTGTGCATCTCATCAGAGGGGAGAAGGCAAGTCATTGGTAGGATGCGTCAGGCAAATGTCCCAGTTGTTGGTCTCTCAGAAATGGAAATACTGCCACTGGGGTCACAGGAACAGGTCCCGTTGTTGTACTGACCCCAAGACTCTTCAGCATTCGAGGCCGTGACATTTCGTAAATAGGCCACTCAAGTCCCCGGCTGGGGTGTGGAGGATATATATCAAGCGACACTGTTTGACTCTGAGCCGGTGCAACAGAAAATCGACTGGCTGTCTCCGGCTGATGCCAGAATCCGACAGTACCACCTTGTGTACATTCAGCTCTCTGCTTTAAGAGTAACAAGACGAAAAGAGAGAGGGAATCGCAGCAGGAAAACGAAGAGCCTACCGGATCTGTGTATCCCCGACCGACCTCCCGTCTGCACCACTAGCTCTGCACGCCCCATTTGGAACGTTGTGCTCTCAGATGCCTCGTGGTTGAGTCGCCATCGTCCTACCCACTTGGGTAGAAACAGATGCGCAGAGCGGCACTAGCACCCAACTCTGCATTTTCAAACGTTTTCTTTCATCCACCACGTCAAGAAATAGAGTCGAAGAAAAGTTGTTCGTTTAGAAGCTTGAGAGCTGCGAAGTGAGGTCATGGGCCACGCTGCTTAGCCGAACAACTCTTGGTCCGGCCCGTGTGCGACCTCGCCTCGGATTCCCTCAATGGTTGCTGCAGCGCTGGGCGACAATGTTTTCGGTGGCATGTCCTTGTCAGGAACTGGGGAATCTGAGCAGAGGGGCATCTTGAAGCGCTTTGGCCTGTCGAGATGGTGTGTATCACAGATCCCAGGGGCCGAACTTCCCTCGTCTCGATTGATGAGGGTTGTACACCTGCTTGTGGAACATGAA